CGTAATGTACAAATCTGTGAAGTACGTGTTCTTGAGTATCGTATCCAACTTCAGTTTGCAGTCCGCGGCAGCGCCTGTGTATGGGACTTAATATATGAGTTGGGTAAATGCTGCCAGCACGTGCTTGAAACGAGCGTCACTGTATATTACCACAAAATTATAGCGGTTTGCAATAAGAGCCGCGACCGCGGAGAGCCGGGCTGGATTGGATGGGATGGGATGCTGCGAGGCGATGATATTTAGTTTTGCCTAGAAGTGCCAGCAGCCGGCCAGCAGCGTAATCGATAACCAGTTCCGAATTGCGGCAATGAAACCGAAAGCGGAAAAGCCAACTCAGGTCTTGGTACCAGCTCTTTGCCAGGCCCGGCTCAAAGCGGTTCGGGCCAACCGATCGAGGGGAGTCGGCAGTCGGGGAGGCCGCGGGAGCCGCGGGAGCCGGTGGAGCTGGTGGAGCTGGTGGAGCTGGGCGAGCCAATGAGCCAATGAGCCGTGTGCCAACTGCACATGCTGAAATTATTACGCTAAATTGGCCAGGAGATCGCCTTGGTCTTACGGTATCTTCGTCGGCCTGCGGTTGCCGCCCAGCGATGCCAACAAAGGGGGCTGGAGAAAGGCGCGATACGGCTCAGTTTGCAACGAGTGATTGATTTAGGGATCCTAAACTCCCTGAGTGTCGAGCTCAAATGTAAATCACTGCCAACAGTTAGTGCTTGCGAGCCTATAAATCCGTAAGTCCACTTATTAATGGTTGTATTTAAATGTATTACTGATTTATATGTTTGGACTCTGACAGCCCACATAGTTTTCGAACGAAATTACTCTTCCTTGCTTTTAATCATTGATGGAGTTACTCATTGCTATATGCTATAGCCAAATTTATATCTGAAAAGCTAAATTAGATTGCAAGGTTTTCCCAAATAAACTCCCCGAAATGAATTGTTTTTACTGCGTATAAACAATTCCTTTCGTGGAATTTATTTGGGAAAACTTTTACTACCTATAGCTTCTAAATAGCTACTAGCTGATACACAAATATTGTGGCCAGGTTCATATGCTTCATATTGTATTTCATACAACCTGTTAGGCAAATGTGTTGTTATCCTTAGGATTGCTGTAGAAAAATACCAAATTTTAAGACTAGTAGTATCGAATGCATATCGTGATGATATACCTGTTTTTTTGTGCCAATTTACGAAACAGAATATAATCGATTCGAGTTCGGAGGTTAGTAGCTCCATTAGATGATAACAGAACAGAAGAATAATCTACGGTTTGCGGCTAAAGATTGCGCAGCTCGTTACTTCACTCCACGCAAATCAACTTAAGCACACACTTAACTGAAATGTGAATTGAATTGTAGCAATTTGAAGGTCATACGCCCTTAACCGAAATATGCAAATTGCTGAGCGTTGCGGGCATGTGAAAATGCTTTTCTTCCGCCTCTAAATGGGAGGGAAAACCGCCGCAGCGCAGTTCATGACAATGAACTCTGGCTGGAGGAGCGAGAGGAGGGCCCGCTGTGGATAGGGGGATGGCTTAGAACGAACGTGGCCAATTAGTTATAATGCTGCTTCGTGATATCACAACATCTGGCAACTCACTCTCAAAGACCCAGACAACGGCCAAGGCAAAAGCAACAACCTTTGCAACCGCTGCAGTTGGAGGCAGAAAGAAAGAGTCAACGCCGGAGCCAATGAGGAAAAAAGGAACGCTCGCCGAAGAAATTACTCAAGTCTGCAAAGTATGTAGCAACTAACAACAGCACCAGCAACAGCAACAGCAACAGCGACTGCTGCAGCAACAGCAACAAAAGCAAACTCGGCTGTGGCAAGAACAACAGCAGCGGCAGCGGCAGCGGCAGAGGCAGAGGCAGAGGCAACCGAGCCTACAACAAAGGCGAACAATGACAATCTGCACGTAGCAATCAGTCAACGTGCGGCAGTTGGTTTAACTTTAACTTGTTGCCAGCCAGATAGGAGATACTGGGCTTAGGGTAAGGAAGCAGATGCACATGGGGCGGGGGCAAGCCGACAAACTGCAAACTGCAAACTGCGAGCTGCAAATGCAAAATGCAAAACGTGGCTCTGACTCCGCTCTAGAGATGGGCAATTTTAATGAATTTTCCCCAGCCGGTGAAAGAGGCAGAAATAATTAAATGCAAGTGAGGAAAAGTAAAAACAGCCGAGGCGAGCACACGGAAGGAGGAATTAGAAGTGGGGAAATAACGAAGACGGAATAAATCGTCTCAGTTTAAAGGGGGAATAATTCATACAAAGAATCTCTACAGTAGCCGGGAAAACATGCTGTGGGCACATATTTCTACTGAGCTAGAAACTCAGAGCTTCAGCTAGATAAAGTCAAGGAAACAATTACCAAGGTATTTACTTGTATGGCTGTTTTTTAACGCCGCTGTTAATTATCAACTTTATGCACTAGCATAAAAGAGTAATATGTTTGATTTGACAAATAGATTATGACTTGAACATACTCGACATAAAGTTTTTTTCATACTAGTTGCCTTAATGATTCCCCTATTGTAATATCCCCTATTCAAAAGTATTTTCAAAAGTTTAAGAGGAAATGTTCTTTTAAGAAGTTTTCCGTATTCCTTGGGGTATCTCCTTCGAAATGACATAGACACAAAAGTATCCGCAGATACCAATTTATTTGTTATGAAAATTAATATTCAGGGTCACGTATTCCTGCCATCTCTAGCCATATAGAATCTTTTCTGGGCCCTCGGCCGCCCCCACTCACAGGGATAAAAAGGTAAAAAAACACCAGTAGGTGGAGAACATGCACACGGAGGCCAATCTCGAGTCTGGCCATACATATTTGCACTTAATTAGCGTTTTTCGTTACATTTCGTCTCGTTTCGTTAAGTTGGCTGTCAGCTGGGAGCTAAAGCAACGTATTTAATGCCGGCGCACATAATTCATAATGGCCAAATGAGCTGACAGACAGCGCGAATCGGGAAAGAGATTTTCTAGCTGGTCTCGGCCAAAACGGAATTAAGCCAAATTTGCCGCTTCAGCTGGCGACTGCTGCTGCTGCTGCTGTTGCTGGAAAACTAGTTTCTTTTTCAGCGCAAAATGCAAAGCCTGCCCACCGCAGGTACAGATACAGATACAGATACATCTGGAGATACGGGCACGGCAGCGGATTCTGATTCTGATTCAGACTCACACATGCATTTTCATTTTCTGACACATAATTCCACATTCAAGGCAGGAGAAGCAGAACAGAAGTCTCGGAGCGGCGTACAAAAACAAGCGGGCTTAATTGCAGTATTTGTTCTAAGTTAATTAGAAAACCAAGAAAGTGCCACCGGGAAGGGGGAGAGGGGAAAGGGGAATGGGGAAAAGAGGCCAGGGGACTGGCATGTGTGTAACTGCTGCATTTAGCACTGTCAAGAGTTCAGATCCCGCAGCAGCAGATACCTCAATGTCGTCGCCGGCTTCCCCGCTTTTCCAGCCTCTCTTTTCGGCCCGGTTCTCTGGTCTTTTAGTCAGTTTCCATGTCATTAACACAGTTTGCCCCGCTCGGTTCAAGCGGCTGGATGGCTCACAGAGCTGTTGAAAATATAATAATAATCGTGAGTTATAACCCCCAGCTGCTGGCGGCTGATTTGGCTCACATTTGTTAGGCTTTGCCGGCCTTAAATGAATTCTGGCCAGAAGTCCAGGGCTCGGAAAGTGGAGCTTTGGCCAGGCCAACTGGCCACTAATTATGACAAGTGTACGGAGGTTATAAATAGCCAAACAATTAGGGCTGGTTCTTATCTAAAAGGGAAACTGGATTTCTCATAATCGGAGGCGAAACAAAAAATAAGCACAGACCCGAACTGGTTTGGCTATATTTCTCAAGACTGAGAAGAGAGAAAAATTGCACGGGTTACACGTATTGCAAGTGCACCCATAACGCATTTTTTATTGGGCGCGTTGAAATGCTGAATGGGAAGCCGCTGCGAATTTCTCCACTCTGGTTTTAATAACCCCTTAAGTTAATGAAGGTCACAAAACGGATAAACGAGAGCAAAAACTGTTTGTAAATCCGACTCAAACCTATTAAGGCCCCAATGAAAATAGCTTCGGGTTTTTGCCCAATACCCGTAAAAACAAAAATAAATGCATACCGCGCTCAAGTCCAGGGTGACTTTCTCTATGGCTTGAGGGTGTCGAGTCAACCCATTGACATGAAATCGCTTGACATCATTAGGTCCGCCATAAATTGGCCGGCAAAAGTGTGAAATATGGCAGGGTAATTTCCACGAATTGGGAACATCTGCGTCTGGGTTCGGGCTCTGGGTCATGCCAATTATGGCTGACCATGGGCAGAAGTTGTGACACATTTACTGACTTATCTGCGAACACATGGCTAAGACTTGGTTGCACCTAAGGCACATGAAAATACAAATATATATATTTATTATTGTCTCATTCCGTTTTGTTTACTTTTTATTTGTCATGTCATGCATACATTTACCATCAAAACCACCGCCAACCAACACGACATTCATCTACAACATCAACAACGAACTCAACACAAAATATCACCATCATCACTGCAACGTCAACATATATATCTTTCTTATCGTAATCCACCGTCATCTTCACCCCCAAACTCCGATGAACATAATCAAAAAATTCTGAACACGCTCACCACTCACACACTTGCATATGTCATTTCATAATACCCGATCACCGATCATGTTGTTTCTGTAATTTTTTCATTACTATTATGCTCATCAATCATTGGAACCTTTTTCGTTTTCGGTTGACTCTTTCGGTTTTGTTTCCGGTATCTTTACCTTTTCGAAACTTAATTGAATTTACATTTATTGTCAAAAACCAATAATTACTGTACATATATGTTTATCCTATACGTATTACTACCAACACGTGTGTGTGGGTCACGACTGGTTTTGTTAATGGTTTGGTAACTTTACACACGCACCCACTCCTCCACCACCGCACCACCGCACCACTTCCCGCCGACAGATCGGGTTGCTCTCGTCACCGCCGCACCGCCGAGCTATACGCGTATGTATCACTATTTTCCAGCACACCTGAGCCCGCACCCGTTCTGCTATTATCCTCCCGCACCACCCCCTCTGCAACCGCTGCCGCCACTGCCACCGCAACCGCAGCCGCTGCCGCAGCAGGCCGCACCGCCCACGCTCACACCGCTGACCCTCAAGCAGCTGGGCAACTCGCTGACCTCCATGACACAAGCGGCGCAATTGGCCAAAACGTTGCGCTATGCGCCAGGTAATACCCACCGCCTGCTAGCCATCCCCTAGGGACATTCGCGTTTGTCTGCAGGGCAGGAGCACCTAGGTTATGCAATCTGGATGATCTTGGTTAACGTATAACGGAAAGCAACACATTTTTATCTGTATCTATACCCACCAAAAATATTTTGGCTACTATAAGTAGTAGTAGTAGTGTTCCATATATTATATGATCAAAATTCCAACTAAAAAAAATAACATGTTTTGAAAAATATAATCAATGCCCATATGATGCAGAAAGTAATAAGCAGCAAAACAGTTTTCAATTCATAATTGTATTCCTTTTTTAATCTAAAGCGATACTTATTAAACTTTTCATCCAAATACTTAAAAATGTGGTGGATTTGATTACAGGAAAAATGTGTTAAATTTCAAAATACCGTTTTACACAAGCTGAGTTTTAAGCTCAATTACCTAAACTAGATAGAGTATACATGCATATATTCGATGGCTTTTAAAACTGAAGTGTGCAGCTCAGCTATTGTAAGCGGCCCTGTACACTATTACTAAGTCTAAGTAATATTATTAATCAAAATTCAAAAGCTAACCAGCACCATGGAAAGTCACTGTTTAATAACCTAATGCAACCCCACCATTTGTTATTGCACTGCTCACAACCTGCTCGCAAACGGTTTTCCGAAGAGGCATAAAACAACTCGTGAACCCCGAATGATACGACTTTTTTATAGGCATGTTTATTCGACCGGACGAAACGAATCTCTATACCACGCTGGAGCCCACGTTGAGCAGCAACCCGAACGTGTACTTCCAACGCAGCGGGGCCGTTCATCCCGGCATCCTGTACTAGGAGTCCGAGGAGCCGAGGAGCGGGGATCCGAGCACCGAGCATCGAGAACACTGGAACTGAGTATTTTTTCTTATCATTAAGGTACGGCTCCCAAGGAGCAGCAATAAGCGAATTGATATTTCCCGATCACTTCAACTAGTGTAATATTTTTGTCATAATTGCTAAGCTCTTTGCATCTAAGTTTCGCTATACGAGAAGTACACTTACGACCTAGTAATTAAGGCCCTTTCGGGCAGCAGAGGAGGAACTCCAATGACGATGCAATAGAGCTGCCAAACGCAGTCCTAGATTAGCGATATCAACCATCTACACTGGTTACATTTCACACTCTCGATGTAGCAACGATTTTAGGGCATAAGTCTTCAGAGCAGTTTGCTGGCCTCGATTCCTAAATAATGTTACCGCTTTTTAAGCGTTCTAAAAAGTCCAAGCATGGTTACTTTTGCCTTGTGATTTACAAGTAAACTGTACTTAAAAATTTGTTTATAATATCAGATCCGAAAAAAACAGCTCTGCTTTTGAAACAACTCGAAGGCGCAGGGGCAAACCATCTGGTTAAAATCTGGTGGCCTGCCAAACAACTTAACTTTGAATTCGCGTTAAAATTGTATGTAATTATGTAAAAGGTGGAGATGGCTCCCTTGGATCCACCTGATGTCCAGCGAGGCTCGCCAGCATTATGTATACAGATGTTTTGCCCCTGCGAACACACATACACCAGTAAGTAATAGGCTTAATAAACATTTGTCTAGCCAAGTAAAACGATCGCTTAAGCAAACACGAAATGTTGTACATATAGCAATGGCCCCGAGCCGCAGAAACACACACACTCTCACACACACACACACACACGGTGAGCAAGCCAATCTCAATAAAAGAAAAACAAAACCGAGTAACAACTCTCAATTGCCACACAGAGGAACATCAGCAATGACGATTACAATTAACTATAATTGCAAATTATTGGCATTGCAATGCCTATTAACGCCTGCTTGCCGCCCAGAGGGGTGACGGGGGAGGGGGGAGGGGGGAGGGGTGGGGATGGCAAGGATCGGGGAGGATTATTGGATGCCAACGCGGCGCTACATGTTTCAAATAATTTGTTAACGCCTTTCAGGTTGCGATTGGATCGGGTGCGGCGTGGCCAGAACGGCTGTTCGGAATAGATAAACGTCCGACCATTATCGCCGCTTCTAAGTGGTCCGTGGAGCAGATCCCATTGCAAGACTCGACGACGCCTCTGCGGAGTTGACCCCCTATATGGCCTGGCACTGGTCCGGTCCTGGGACTTCTGACCACATCGAGTGCATGCCGAGGGCGTGTTCTCCAGGAGAAGGCGAGGAGATGCGAGGGACGAGGTGGACGAGGCGGGACGGAAGGAGTCCCATCCCCAGCCCCATCCTCACATTAATTAAGTGCAACAATGCGGTGCGGATCGGGTGGCAAAGGGCGGCAAGGGAGGCTGGCCTGGCAGCATTCACATCCACATCTCCGGGCAGTCACATCGCTCGTATTAATGACATTTCTCACGAACATTTTACCAGAGCAGTCAACACAGGAGCTCTTGTCAAGCCGAAGGCACTGAGATAAACGCTCTAGTCATTATATTTCGCCGCCAAGGGATGCCTGCGAAATGCTTTCAATCAAATGTACTAATAAATAAACTTCCGCTCACGCTTTTCGTGGGCCTACCCCTGATAAATAAAAGGGAGTAATCGAGGTATAAAGGTCTTCAAATAACGATATATTTTATTAAATGTTCAGTGTTTAGGAGTTATTATTATAGGTTTTCGCCGATTCAAGAACTTCACTTTTTTAACTTTTTTTTCTTTATTTCGTTAATCAAAGGGTACCCAACTAGAAGACTGTTTGGCGTCTCGATAAGCTCCAAACAGCAAGGCATTTACTATCATTCCAATACTTTTTATAAAGTCAACGTATATACTTTCTTTACTTTACATCAATAATGATTACAGGCCTTCAATTGGCTCAGTGCAATCCAAAACTGAAGTCCAGTCCCAGAATGTGCTTCTCTCTTTTACAGCCGCCTCGCTTCAATTAGGCGCGCCTTCAAATCACAAGTCAATCAAAGTTGTTAGATTCACCGTCCTCGTCGTCATCGTCATCGTCATCGTCATAGTCGGGAGTCATAGTCGTGGTCTTGGTCTTGGTCTTGGCGACTCGGACATCGTGGTCCCGTCGCCATCACTGGCCAGTTGACATCTCCTGACATGGCACACAATGTTGCAGGAACCTGGAACCTGGGACCCAGAACCTGGAACTCGGAGCCTGCAGGCGGCAGCATCAATTACAACATCCATGACAGGCACAGCGTGAAATGTTTGTACATTTCTTGGCGGCGCTTCCGAGGGGACCAATTAGCCCTAAGTAGGCATTTCAAATGGACTCCTGCAATTAGCCAAAATCGAAGCCAACAATTTCATCACTGGCCCATCCGCGTTGGCCAGCTCCAGGCCCTTCATAATGGACGTCGCCACTATCGTTATCATTATCGATCCTTGTCGATGTGTCCATTGATATCGAAGAATTTCATTTGATCAATTGATAGTCGATGGCCGCCACCTACATCCACTTTCCTCAAGTCCTGCACTTCCAATACCATTGCCAATCCTCGCCCACAGAGGCGTACCTCCTGACGTGCTAATGGCGATTTGGTAACGCTTTATGGCATAATGGGTAAAAGCCAGTAACCACGATCGCCATCTAATATGGCTGCGGGCGAGTGTAATAAAATCTGTTGGAGATGGACTGCACGGAAAAAAGTAGGTCCAAGTAATGTTTTCTAGTTAAATAAAATCAAAGAAAAGGCTTTTATCCTTTGCATTGCTATAATACTTGTACTTCTTTGAACAATAAATATTTATTTAAGTAACAGCACTTTGATCCAGATATGCTTACCTGTTGTTCTGTTGTCTTTTATAAAAAAGGAAAGACCACTTAGATCAACAATAAATTTATTACAACAATTGTTTATTACACCTTGCCAGAGTATAACAGTACCTACGAATAATTTTATTTTAACAATACAACTATTGTCCGAAACCTTTGTTTTTAGTTGCAATGTAACACACTCAACCAGTACTTATTTCATCGATCCTATCAGCTTCCCAAATCCCAAATTTCCCGTAAATACTGCATCGCTTACAAAGTTTCAATGAAAATTATAGCAATAGAGACCAGCAATTTGTTCGGGCCAACTTGGCCGACTGCCAGCCTTCACTGTCTCATCTCCAAAGTCTGGCCGACTGACAATGGCCGATGGTCGCGAAGCGCGGGATCTCCAACTCCAACTCCGTCTCCATCTCCATCTGTATCTCGATCTGCGACTCGATCTGCAGCTCCATCTGCGCACCGTCTGCGAAGCCGTCTAGTCGCGATTTTCGGCCATAATAATTCGCGTTGTTCGTTTGTTGGGGGCATGTGGTGAGTGTACGAGTAAATTAAATTACTCGCCCGGCCGCGCCATTAACCGTAACATTATCCTTCAATGAATGGGGGCTGGGCGGCGGTGGGTATTACAGCTATTATTGTGGTGCAAATGTTATGACCGCTTTATGGAGAGAGTGCAGACCGAGGGCCCTAAGGGCAGCCTCACGTTACTGATTTGATGGGCTTTTATTCCCGCAGACCGAGAGGAGGAGTTGGGAGTTGGGAGCTGGAGCTGGGAGCTGGGAGCTAAAGTGCCGGGGCTCAGCGATCGCTGGCCGATAAGCTGGCGGTGGGGAACTGGTAACTGGTAATGCGTGCATTGACCGCTCGGATCTTGGAACTTGGAACTTGGAACTGGGATCTTGGATCTCGGGCCCCGGAGCGCTGGCGTTGACGTAAGTTGAAATTAAATTTGCGCGGCGGCCCAGAGACGAGCGATGCCTTCGCAGTACAGTTAACCTCGTTTAAGTGCGCCACGCACTGCCAAACTCAGGGAAGCAAGGGAAGCAAGGGAAGCAGGGAAGGGGGACGTGGGAAGGGGGAGGGGCGCAGGCTGGCGAGCAGCCCAGGTCCAATTAACAGTACCCAGCTCCGTCGGGCCGAAGGAAGCGGATCCGCAGACCCAGCCACAGAGCCCAGAGCCACAGTTTTGTCGCATCCTCCTGCTTAAAGCATAAGTATAACTCCGCCAACTGGTTTTGGGTTCTGGGTTCTGGGTTCTGAGTTCGCTGCCAACACCTTTTCGAGCGAGAGTTGAGGGATTCAGAGCCACATCTGACTGGTTTCATATAAAGGCCAAGGGATGGAAAGAAAAATAAAAGATAGTATCCAAAAGTATTGTATGATATTAATATTAATTGTAAAGAAAATATTTAAGAACGTACTTAGTTCTTAGTTCGTGGTTGCTAAGAAAAACTATAAAAAATTAAAAGATTCTTAAAAGAACAATTTGTCTTACTTGGTAGGAAGATTCATTTTAAATAAGTAAGTAAAATGGATTTTCGAATTGGAAAACCCAAACCCGAAGCCTTTTCCATGGGCTAAAATGAAGAGTAGAAAAAGTTGCCTGCTTTCTTCAATCATTTCGTTTTTGTCTGAAGCTCGAAGATCTATCCATAAAACGGCTAAAGCGACAACACTGCTCCGAGTTCCCGGCTTAGAGAACCGGCAAGCTCCAGTGGCAGCAACAACCCGGCATACGAGTTTATAGCGGATGCGTAAACGTAAACGCATTTGGCTCAAATGCCGTTAGGGCCTTTGACTAAATTGCATGGCCACATGGGCCCCTTCGGCAGCAGATTCAGCATCAACCTGGTCGTGGACCTCGGCTCAGGCATCAGCCATCAGGCATCTGGCCATTTGCTGGCTGCTATTTGCTGTTTGCTATTTGCATGTCGTCTGGTGAGACGCCAGGCCAGGAACTAGACTCTCCCATTGACATTTTGTCCCTGGCTCCGTTGGTTCCCCTGCCCTGGAATCGAGAAATGTTAATGCATTACACAGTTATCGATCGAAGCCGCCCAGCTCGCAGCCTCATACTGGAGCGGCTGGCATCCCATTTGACGTAATCAAAACAGCTGAATGTGGGCAACCCAAAAATGTTTTGGGTCATTGATTTCGTTCGCTATCCGTGGATCTTAACGGTTCTTTCCACTATTTCGTAATGGGCCAAGATCAATGTACCAATCTGGACGCTGTGATGCTGAGTCTCGAGATGAGCGCTCGCTGGAGAGTCTTCCCTTTTATGTGGAGTACACGCAACTGAGCCCCCATTGATTAAATAACCGAGGTCCAAATAATGGAAACACCAAGAGAACCGAAACAGTCTTAATTAGTGTTTGGAGCATCGAAGCGATGATACTCTATATATACTCTATATAATATTTAACATAAATAGTTATATTGGAGGTAAAACTAAAAGTATAACTAAAAATACTCGCGCATTGTAAATGATTTAAAGCAAGTTCAAACTAACATCTGTTTATTTTTTCTAATAAACATATATTTAGTAAGACTTTAGCCTCAGATAGTGATTTCTGATACCGTGTTTAACAAAGAACATTACACGAAGAAGCTAGATCTTACCGACTTCTTAATTATTTTTTATGATCTTCCATGAACCAGCAACTACCGTCTCAAGTTCTCGTCAAGAGAAACCCATTTCAACTGCCTTTTATGGCTGGTCTTTAAATGCTTCAGAAATGTTTCAATTGAATTGAAATGAATTGGGTCAAAGTGTTTCAGCAGCGTCAGAAGGAGAATTAAATGTGCCCACGTAGCTCGGCATTACAGGTTCATTGAGATGTTTCATCATCGCAAAGGCGTGTTTATAACATCCGAGGTGGGAGAGGCAGATGTAAATGCTGAATATAATTATGATTTATGCTTAAAGAAAGGCCAGCAGCCACTTCTGGCTGTTGGGAGGCTTGTTAGGAGTGATAATAACTTTCTTACGCATAATGTATTTAAATTGAAAACGCGGGGAGGGGAACTGTGTAATTTATAATTTAAATGGCTTTCGACATGGGCAGGGAGAATAATTAAAAATGTTAATGATCGAGATTCATCATTCTAAGCCTCCCGAAATTGGGTTCTTGTTGTTCGGATTCAGGACGCTTTAAATGGTTCAGCAGTCGCATAACGTCAATTTCCTAATGACCGCCATTGTTCGTTTCAATCACGATCTCATCCAGGATATCTTCAAATCATCTTACAGAGATCTTCATTGCAATGTCATTGTATGCAAAATTCTAAAAGGGAAAATAAAGCGCACAAAGTCGTGCGCTAAATATAAAATTTAATATGGAACTTACACATGTTCTGCGGATGCTCCAAATGGCCTGACTCGATCTTTCCCCAGTTTGATGGCTCTCTGGGTTCGGATTTACTTCGTCTCGAGTTGGCTAAAAGCTCTCACGCCGCTTAGACGTGGGGGGCTCCAGGAGATCGAGGGATTCGGGGTCATTTGCTGATTTTTACGACTATTTCTATCTTAAAGATACAAGTTTATTTATGGCCGTGCAGTAAAGTGCGACGAGTGTATAAAATGCGGGGAATGACATTGCAACACCCAGTGAGCAGGATCCGATCCGCATCCGAATCTTAAACCAAATCAGAATGGAAATGGCCCCTCCGGTGGGAGTGCGATGTGCTTGGGCTTCCCTGGGATTCAGGGAATAGGTTTGGGTATGGGAACAGCCGGCAGGGCACTAAACATGCTTCTCGAATGTGGGTAAGTTGACTCGACTTTAATGTGCCTGGCCAGCTAAATGCAAACGCACCGAGGCCCTGGGACGAGAGCCACTGTGGGGGCCACCGACCACCACCATGCTAAAAGGGTTCGGTTCGCCCCCCGCTCCCTACGCCCATTTTTTCCGCTGATGGGCCTCATTAGGAGTCGCTGGAAACCAGTTCCCGGCCGGCCGAGGAGCAGGAGCACAAAACCGCAGCCGTAGGACCCCAGACAATTGACAATTTAAACGAATTTCTTTCAAACACAGCACTGACATGGCCCGGCACAAATGACGAATAGTGGCGGATGCCCAAGCCAAAGTTTACGCATGAAATATGCACCACCAGGAGGCAGACGCAGCATCCTAACCCTTCTGGCCTCTCTGGATGCGAGTAGTTCGTGGCCAGTTGCCATTTGCCAGTTGCAAGTTGCAGCTCCAGGGACGCATGTATGAAGTGTCATTCATCTGGCCACAAACGCATTATTCAATATGCTGAGTGCACTGACAAAAAATAATCACGAAATTTTTATTACGATATTTTATTATTTATTGTTTTTTTTATAGTACCTTTTAAATTTATTATATTATATTAGTTGGAATCATGATTTCTTTTAGGACACATACACTAATATAAACTTATTTTACAGAAGTAAAAGAATAACAATTTAATGCTTAAAATCATTTTAACAATTAAACTTCAGAAAAATGAATACTCTAGATCTTAATAAATTAACAAAGCATTATTTCAAAAGGTGTTTGCCCCTTTTCCTCATTTGCTCCTGTAAAATTCTTTTTATTTTATTTCTGGGCAGAGTTGCACAACAGCCTTGGGCTTGTGAAAAGGTATAATATAGGTCAATAATGAAAATGAGCTGTAATTAATATGTTTAAATACATATGTCTGTAGCGTGAGCTATAATTTTCCTATGGGTTAATATTTTCGATTTCGAGTGTAGCAGTACATAAGCGGGGGGCAGCAGCTAGACAAACGAGTGATCGGCAGACGGACAACAACAGCGGCAGTAGTGGTATCAACAGCACCAACAACAAAAACAACAACAGCAGCAGCAGAAAAAAAACAACAACAACGAAGACGAGGACTGACTAAATGCCTCATACTGTGCGGGGTCTGCGGTTCAGGCTCCTTGACTATCTGTCCGCTGGCCAATCCGTCCGCTTGGATTTCAAGGTTAACAAGTTGCATTTGCAATTTGGCACTAGGACTGGCTCTCGAGATTTGAGACCCTGGCAGAGAAGAAGGATCGTATCCCCAGACAAGCTGACAGACGGTCGGAGCTCGACACGGTCGCTCTGCCCCTGCGACCGCATCAATCGCTTTGGTGAGAATTAAATGTTTATGCCTTTTGTTTGGCCGGAATGCCCTCTTCCCGCCAACTACCTCCGCCCTTAATGAGCGACCTGCCCAATACCAATACCAATACACGCAACCGAAATCAAAGAGTCAGAGCAAAGTACAACAAAAAGCACTCTCATCGAATCAAATGATACCCTTGGACGGACGAAACGATTCTTAAACTTAAGGGAGCATGGATAAGTTGTTAAGGGGCTGGTTGAGGTGGGGAAATGGTGGCAATCGCGGGAAAATATTCAACCAGAACACAATACAACTTTCAACTAGTTAGTTGCCTACCGCCAAAAATCCTATCCCAATTGGTTAATTAAATAATCGATACAGTTGAGTTTATCTAAGTTTAATAAAAGGAAAACAAGTACGTTAAAAACTGGGATTGTAGCTTCTTTTCGTAAGACTTCGTAAAAGCCGGTCGAAAAGGTAAAGGGGACCAACCAAACAGATGCGTACTTTTGTAAATGTTATCCTAAAGCCAATCATGCATTCGTCGTTCATCCTGCTTTAGACCTACAGCTGAACCAATTTCGTTTCCGTCAATCCAAAAGCGAAGGAGCCCTTCCTCGTGCCACAGGCTGGAGACTCAAAATGCATCGATTGCTCAGAAGAGCATTGCAGTGAGGAGTCGGCAATAATACGACGCTGATCTATTATTCGCCAGATTGTAAAAATGTAAAAATCACGCTTTCGTGTTGTGTATAAATTGAATGCAATTTATAAATGTCCAGAGTAGAATTAAATCCCCAGCCGTCGGCACAGGCCACGATCGGGTGATGGTGATTTTTCAAAATAAACAACCTTGAGCCGAGGGCTCCGCAGCTCTATAGCTCCACAGCTCCACAGCTCCACAGCTCCATAGCTCCAGAGATCCAGAGCCGAGAACAATTGCCAGAGCCCAGAGCAACAATAGACGGCAGCAGCAGCAGCCCAAAAGGATCCGCCAGATCGGATCCCTTGGAGCCGCAGATGAAAAATTGCGCCAATTGAATTTGACCAGCGATTGTGGTCGATTGCTCCTCATCGCTAGCTGGCTGCGGGAGGTGCTTTCCGAGGATCGGGGGCTGGCGTGAGGAGGTGGTAATCCACTGGGCGGTCGCTTAGTTTTCAACGCATTTATCAATACCCAAGTGGTTCGCCGTCCTCCTGCGAACCCCTCGCGGTCCCATTTTGAGGCGTTGACAATGCCAAGGGCGGTGTCGGGTGCCTTCGTTTAATGCATTCCAGGGAAGAGGGAAAAATGCCGCCGTCTCTGATTGAAGGTGAAGGCACAAAATCGATTTGGCACATCTTACATCATTCACGGGAGACCTCCACCAAACATTTTTTAATGCACAAACCTCTTCAAATACCAACAATATCCTACAATTATTATTTATAATAATCAATTTTGTTCGGTTACCAAACGGAGTCAGTTGTAAATCACATCAGTCATTCTTACTGGAAAACTGTATCAGCGAGGACCAGTCATGAATATATTCCACTCCCTAATATTATTTGGAGGGTTAGGGATATCTGTTTATGGGCAAATCGTAAGTTCGAAAGCGTCACACTAAAAAGTTTTCTTCTATGGTGTCTGTTTTCTTCAGCAAAAGGCCGACCCACTTGAAAACGTTAATACAGACATGGAAAGAGCGGAGGTTAGAAAAACTAAGGGTAAATACTTATACTATTGACAACAAGTACATGTTTAACGTTGTTACTTTTTCTTAGATGGCTGGGAATGTGCCGGAATGATATGCCCCAAGTTTACGGCTTCCTGTAGGGTGACTAAGGTGTTATACCCATCTCAACTAATAGACCACTTTCTTCTTATCATATGCATGGACAAAACCCAAAAGAAGAAGTGCGGGTTAACCCGTAGTCGAAGAGGCGAAATAAAGGAAATTTTAGAGGTGGACGACGAAGGAAATACGGTCATGGTAAAGAGAGAGGTAATTTCAACAAATGATGGCACTGCGATACCCTTGTGCCCAAGGAAGAAATGAAACACTTGCATTGATTGATCTGACACAAAATAATTTTATTTTATATATATGTATAAATAAATATATATTATGTGACAACCCAATAAGGTTTACGTAACATTACACGTATACTATATTATGGGGTAAATAGGTTTGTAGATTGGCGTTTTAACGTTTAACTAATAAATTGAATTATTTAAATAAACAAAATATAAATAAATCTAAAGAATACAAAAACAAACAATATATTATATATTCGTAAATTGATCTAAGTAATTTACAACAGGATAAACACCATGAGACTAGGGTTAACACAAATATAAACTTAATTTTTTCACTTTTCAATGACAAACTAAATTCGAGACAAACAAATAAATTAAGTACTCAACAGAAATTACTGCGAAAATTTTTGTGAAAATTAAGTTAGGCATTCTAAGAGTGCTCTGCTACCGCTCGCAGTTCCTCCATAAGGGATGGCATGACCTCCACCCTTGTTTGATCCCGACCAGCCATAAGTAGCATGTTTAGCTCGTCCATATCTGAACGACATGCTGAAATATCGTCGGTTAATTGGCACAAATTCGGTTGGCATCGCTGGCTTCGCTCGATCAGCTCCAGGATGAAGCTGTTGGTTGGACGACGAGTCTCATTGGCGGTTTGTTGAACAAGCTGTGGGGAGAAAAATTATTTAATTGAATGTCCAGATCAGCTTATCCAAGTCTATCAAATTACCTTCTTGTAATCATCGATCAGATTAGCCACCTCATGGGCGGGTTCTTGGGGCGTGGTGCTCGCCGTCGATTTTCCCGAATCCGAGGCTTCAAAGCGCGATCTCTCCGCTGCCAACGTTTGTTCCAGAAACTGTGGAAAACGATATTTTTTAATCTCGTGTTACACGCAGTAAGCTGACCAGTACGTTAGTGAATAATAATCAGAGGGTTTAGCTTCTAACAAATCGCATATTTTGCGTATAATTTGTTAAGAGTAGCAACGCCTCTGCTTTATGAATTTACCCCTTATTTTTGTTAATGATTTTTAACTTTGGCGGTTACCTTAATTTTTTTTAAGGCCTGCTCATGCCTTCCGCTCATCTCCGCCAGCTTTGTTTTGAGTCCAGGCAACTCCTCAGCCTTTCGGTTATTAACTCTCCCGTTCCGCAGTTCTTTTCGAAGAAGTTTGGCTAATTGTGGCCAGCTTTTAATGTGTGGCAGCCTTCTCCCCGTTTCCATTTCGAGAACTTGACCCAGAGACCGCAAGCAGTCGACCGCCTTGCGTTCCTCTCGATTAGCTTTCTCTCGCTCTTCCAGCAAAGATTTTACCTGGCTTTGTAGCCTTTGTAAGTTAATAGAATCAGCAGAGTGTATATCCAGATTCTCTTGGAATGTTTCCTTTAGCAGCTGTAACTCTAGACGATTCTCCTCGTCCTTTGCCAGGCTCAGTTTTTGCAGCTTTTGAAGTTCTTCATTTTGACCAGCAAACAGTTCATTTAATTGCTCCAACTCAATCGTCTTCTGTTGAAGCTCTGCCCGCATCTCCAGTTCCAAATGTTGAGTGGCTTGCAGTGCACCTAGAAGTTGTATCCAGTCTGCTTCCATTTTGTTTGTGCTCTTGATTTTGGCATCTTGTTGCTGGAGCAGCTTTTGGAGTAAGGAAACTGTTTGCAGTTTCTGGGCCTTGACGTCTGCCAATTGGAGCTCCAAAGACTCTATGCGTTGGGTTAGAATCGGGTCCTCAAAGTCCGTTTGAGTCGCTTGGCATGTATTTATTTCTTGTTGCCTTGAGCTTTCGATCGTTTTTAACTGCTCTTGCCAGATCTCAGCATTTTTGCTTTGGATATCCAGTTGGGACTCGGCCTGGAACAATGCTTTCTCTAGCTGCTCGCACTGAACTGCATAGGCTTGGAGTTTTTGCGTTAACTCAGTTTCCTTGACGGAACTCTCTTGTTTTAATTTGCCAATCTCGATTTTCTCTAGTTCCAACTGCATCTGGGTTTCTTCGCACTTGGAACACATTTCGGCATACTGCCCATTTAGGGTGCGTACCGTTTGCTCCAGTTTTTTAAGAGTGGTTTGTGCTTCTTTTAAATTTTCTTTCAGGCTTTCTTTCTCTAGTTGTAAGGAAGCCAAAGAAATTGTTAAACGCTCCACCTGTTCCAATTTGAGAGCATCGTTGTGCCGAAGCTGGGCCTCCTCTAAAAGCTGAGCTTGCCGCGAAAACTCCAATTGCTCCAACTGGCGTTGCTGCTCCTCGCTTTGTTCCTTTAACTGTGACATTATCATCAACTCTGCCTGGAGCTCGTTAAGAGAATTCTTAAGGCTGGCAATTTCACTTGTCTTGCTGTTAATCTCTTTATGAAACTTCATACTATAGGAGTGCATGACATCTATGCTACTTTCCCTAGTCAACTTTTGCTGGTAGTATTGTTTCAAATCAAGGAACTCCTGTTCCTTTATCGCCAGCAATTTTTCCTGGGTTTGCAGCGTCTCGTTTAGCTCGGCGATGACCTGGCGGAGCTGCTCCCTCTCGGCGGTGACACTACGCAAGGCATTGCCTTTTAGCTCTAGTTGGTGCTCCATTTGGCTCTTAAGTTCGAGTAGTTGCTTGCATTTCCCTGTCATATGCTTGCTCTCCAGCTCCATGCCGGCCAAAGTCTGCTGCAACTGAGATAGTTTTTCGTCGTGATCAAAGCTGAGTCGCTGGATGTCATCCAGAAGCATCTTCTTTTGCTTACGAAGCACGTCTATCAACTGACGCTGATCCCGTAAACGGGCCTCCTGTTGTTTATACTCAAAAGACGAGTCTGAAGATTCAGAGTCCCTCTTAAATCCTGATGTGCTAGGGGATTTTGGCGATTCCTGCTCCTGCTGCTTCTCCAGAGAGGCACACCGTGTGTGTAGGCGCATCGATTCTTGCTGCAGCCTTTGGTTCTCCATTAGATATTTGCGCTCCTGGGCGTACAATCGTTCCAGTGTCTCCAGCCTGCTGTGCTTCTGCGACTTGAGCTCCTGCTTGTACCACTGCTCCGACTTCAGCAGCCTTTCCACCTCACTGCGCGACCGAAGAAGTTCTTGCCGCACCAGGAATATAGACTGTTCCCGTTCCGACTCCGGCTTTTGGCAAGAATCGCCACCTCCCTCGTCACTGGTGCAGCTAAAGTGGCCGGAATCATCTGCCAATGCTGTCGTGCCCTCGCAGGCTGACTCCATTGCCAAGCTGTAAAAAAATCCGCTTTGAAAGGGTGAGTTCGTGGCCAAAAAACAAGTTTTGTGGGCGAATGCAAGTCCGTATAACTGCTGTATATTTTATCTGAAACCTACCTGTTTCTATTGCTGCGCTCTTACTGACGGAATATTTTTGTGTTACTTGTGAGTAACTCTCAAAAGAATAACGGGAAAAACTACATTTTAAGCGAAATAAACAAATCTGCAGAAAGTTTCTGAGCAATCAGCTGATGGACAGAACAGTAAGACCGTACTAAGAAAATAGCATGAGCCTTAAATTCAAAAAAAAAATACTAACAAATATACTTATTTTTGTACAGGCTTGTGACGAAAGCAATCAGCAATGTGACGTCACCTAGAATGCTGTATTCCTTTTTTATTATTATTCTATTAAACATATGTTTTTATTTAATGCTGTGATACTGAAAACTAATAACTTTACATATTAGCAAATCTTAATTAAGCGAAACCAAGAATTGGATAAGCTCTATTTTTCATGAATACCGCTTCTAAATATATATTTCTGAAAATTAAACCGCTGGTCACATTCAGAACAAGAAATCATCACAAAAACATGAATTCTTATTAGCCAGTAAATATCAAGTGCAATTCACGATTTTCATACCTTGGCATTAAAAATTTGCGTTCCAATTCGCGGCATAAAATGTTAGACAGTGTCCCGAGCGCCTAGCGGAAATTGCAGAACGCGCAGCATGTGAGAACAGACTGCAGTCGATTCGTGCAACTGCGTCGTGTTATAAAATTTTGGCCCTGGTCGAATCTCCAACAACAACTCGTGCATCATGGCCAGTGCGTCGGATGACTCGACATCAGCGGGTCAGGAGGATCAGGAGTCCTTCGCCATCTATCATGAAGGCAGGGCACTGCAGCTCCACTGGCGCGGATTGCCTCCCTTGCGACGGGCTCCCGCATCCCGGATCTGCAGCATTGGCGATGGGTTGCTCCTCCTGACCACCGATCACGCCCTGTACTCTGCCCAGCTACAGGCCAACCGTAGACAGCTGGACCTTCAAATCCTACGCACGGATGTGGTAGACATGGACTTCTGTTCCGGCAGCCAGGAGCTGTTCGTGGTTCTAAGCAACGGCTCTGTGCAGCGCCAGATCACCGGATCTGGTAGGGAAGTGGGTCACCCACACGCATGGCAAACCCTCGCCTTCGACCCATTGGAGCTGCTCGCCGAGGGCGTTCGCATCCGGCGGGTTTGCTGTTCCGCTCAGGGCGTAGTCTTCGTCGGCGCTAGTGGAGAAACCTATGTCATGGGCTCCTGCGGCGAGGTCTTCAATGCGGAGCAACAACCCCGCCATATGCGCCTTTACGAAGAGGGCAAGGAACTGCTTGATCTGGCCGCCGGAAATGAGCATTTTGTGATGCTAGTGGCACCCTACAACCTGGCCGACGATGTGCTCCAGTTGCAATTAGCCAGTGCGAAGGACGATCCTGAGGATGAGCGCGCCTCCGTAAAATCCCTGAGCAGTGACAACTCGGTGCGTAGCTTTGCGGCCAACACTAGGCACCTGCTCCACCAGGGGTACGCTCTGCTTCACACCCAGCTCTTCACCTTCGGAGCCTCCAATAATGGCCTCCTCGGCACCGGTGACCACATTCGGAGAGCCAATGTGATGCGCCTTCAAAAACTGGACAGCATGGGCGTGTGCAGCATCGCAGCCGGATTGGAGCACACAGTGGCCCGCACCCTGGACGGAAGGCTCTACCATTGGGGCCTTAACAACCACTCCCAGTTGGGTGAGGATGTCAGCTCGCCCATGGAGATTACCATAGCGGATAACGCGGCATCATTGCCAATCGAACAGAACTCGGCGCTAGAGGCAACTTGCGGAGACTACCACACGCTGCTGCTTAATGCCTCCGGGCAGATACAATCCCTCCAGCCACCGCCTCCAATGCGCCACCTGCAGCAGTCCAGCACCTATGCCCAGACGCTTCTCCAGCTTCAGTTAGGTGCTGCGTGGCCACGCCAACTGCGACTGCTCATGTGTTCCGGGGGGTTCACGCTGCAAAACCAAAGGAAGTTCCAAAGGCAGTATCACTACTACCTAAGTCACCTGCAATCGCAGCTTCAGCTGCTTCTCAAGCATCGCCAAGCTGTTCAGTTGCTGGAGATCTGGCAGCGACAATCAGCTCTGGAGGCGATCAGCGTCCTCGGCCCCCTGCTGGTCAGCTGGGAGCGCATGCTGTGCTTACTAGTTGCGACATTGCATTCGTTGGAGGGATTCTACCGAGCGGACTTTGTGCAGCCCGCCGATCTGCTTTTTATTTGCCACTACAAGGAGTATATCGAGCTGTTCGACGGGTACACCAAGGCATATTGCGACGTGTACTCGGTTAATGGCTTTGGTGAGGCGGTGGCCGCCGTGGCCGGACTAAGCAGTCCGCTGGCCGAACTCAACGAGGAGAGCTACGTGACGCGGCTGTTCCAGCAACCCTTCAGCATTTATCAGCTGTTTGTGCAATTTATGGAACTGCTAGTGAGGACGCAACCGGAGTACGGCGAGCACAGAGTGGCTTGGTCGGAATTCGCACGGCTCAGCTGCATCAGCCAAGAACTGGCCGTGAACACCAGGGATTTCTGGAGCAGCAACGATCGTAACCCAAGGATCGTTCAGTTCAGAAGACGACAACGAAGGGTTATCCTTACATCTGCCTTAGTGCCACTGAAACTCGTCACTTCTGGCCTCAGTATATCCAGCTACAGCTTCATCTTGTTTTCCGACTTTTTGTGCCAGGTCGGCGGAAACTCCCTGTTCTCCTATCCACTGACTACGCTGTGGGTTTGGACCGAGGGCGACCTGAGCTTGCGCTTGACAACGCCGGAGAAAACCTTTCTGGTCACAACACGCTCCCAGGAAATGCGCAAGGTGTGGCTGGACCAGCTGCAGTCGAGCATCGTTGCGTCCTTAGGAAGACCTCTCGGCAGTGCGGTCCCCAGTGCTCGCTCCACGGGTTACGAGTTCAGCCGGGAGCACACAAAGTTCTCCCGGGTGAAGGCGTGCGGTACTTGGAGGAAGGGTGTTCTCCATGGAAACTGCTACCTGGAGTATCCGGACGGAAGTGTCTACTGCGGGGAGCTGCATCATGGTGTCATCGAAGGTGAGTGATCCATTTGATAAGTCAAAATATTTAAGTAAAAGGAAAATTAAAAGTTATATTCCAAACATTTTTTCGAAAATGTTAGTCAAAGGCTAAGATTGATAGTTTAACGTTGATATTATTCAATCCAGGAAAGAAGAGTTTAAATTCAAAAATTGAATACATAAACCATTTATTGGATTATTGCACAATGAAGTCTCCGCATTTTATTTAGACATATTATATGATACTAAGTGACTGTTAACAAACTAATTATGGTATACCAGCCGAAAAAATAAGAAAAATGGACCAAAAAGAAACAATTCTAAGACCAGCATTCTGAAAAATTTCATACAATTTTATACTGTTCTTTACCCATTTAGAGATTGAATTCGACCAATGCAACCGTTATTTAAAAAACATTTTAAAGCAACTCAAAATTTCAGGCTATGGCAAAATGGTGATTCCCGCATCTGGTCTGTACGTTGGTCACTTCAAAGGTGGTCGCTTCCACGGTCACGGTGTCTACGAGATGCACAGCAAGGACTCCCCCGAAAGCGAAGTTTACGAGGGAAACTTCTGCGAGGGTCTCTTCCACGGTCACGGAATGATGCGGAACAACCGATACATCTACGTGGGCGAGTACCAGGCTAATGTGCGCAGTGGATACGGTGTGATAGAGGACCTGGTAAGCGGAGACAAGTACATGGGAATGTTTGCGGACAACAAGCGATCGGGAATCGGCAGCTGCATTACCAATCGGGGTGACTATTTCGAGGGCAACTTCTCCGGAGACGATCTAATGGGTAGTGGCGTTGCGGTGTTTGAGAACGACTATTACTACGAGGGCGAGCTCACGCTGCACGGCCCCAATGGACGGGGAGAGTACTATATGCCCAGCGGAGATGCGGCCGGAGGAAACGGTGTCATTGCCACCGGGGAGTCCGACGAGACCTGTGAGCTGATCGGCAATAAGATGTTCGGGCAGCTGAGCGGTAGCTGGGAAACGGTGCGAATTCAGGCCGGCGAACTTGTTCTAAATAGACGATTTCCAAAATACCCAAGGTAAGTCAACGATATCAAAACAATAAAATACAAATTAAATAAAAAAAAAAAACGTTACCTGCCATTTTAAAAAATAATACATAATATCTTATCTTCCAGTTCCCTTGGTCGCCAAGTGGTGGATCACAATCGCAAATGGCGTTCGCTGTTTAACAACTTTGAGTCGGACCTGGCCAATTGCACGGCCAACAGTAGCAGCTCTGGTGGAAATCCGTCAGTGGGCACCCTGAGAAAGAACTCGAAACCGTCGCTCAGCACGGCTCAACTGTGGAACTGCATAGCGGTGTATATGAGCAAGCAGCGTGCTCGGGAGGGAGCTAAGCCTGGAAACTACTTCAACAATATCCTGCTGAGTCTGCCGCTGCCGCAGAAGACATCTTCCCCACTGGCTAAGGCGCGGAGCACCACAAACCCACTGAGCAAGCTGCAAACGGAGGCTGCATCGGCTCTAGACTTTCTGGGATTTCCGCCACGCCGCATCCACTCCCAAGAAACGCTGAACAGTAAGCCAGGCGGACTACAGAGGGCGGATAGCTTGCTTTCTGTGGGTCACAATTCCTCTCGCGACTTGGACACCAGCAGTCTGGCCAGCTTTCAGATGGAACAAAGTCTGCTCAATGATTCTGTAAATGCTGACGAGTCAAGCACGCTCAACGAAAGTTTTACCAAATTAAGTCACAACAACAATAACAGCATCTCGAAGCACATGAACAACAGCGATTGCTCGATTACCTCCACAACATCCACGACGAGTGCAATGCTCGAGCAGGTGCCCAGTTTTGGAATGGCCTCGGTGCTCACGGAGCAGGATGTGGCCTCCATACGTTTGTACCTAGAGCAGGCTTTCAAAGATCGGCATCATCCGCTGTACGCCTTAAACGAGCGCATTGCCAACTGTTTCCACTACTCATACGGCTACTGGAAGGTCAAACCGACCCCGATCCTCGCTAAGCAGGCGATGAGGGAGTGGGAGTCTATATCGCGACGCATTTACCGATTTGTGCGTAAGATGTTCCCAGCTTTGCCCGAGGACTATTGCCACATGGAGGGTAGCAGGGAGGTTATTTCGCACATTACCCTGTTGTACCCTCTGGTGCTATCCGAGGGCATCTACTCCACCTTATTTGTGTTGTACGCGAATAAGTACAGTCGCAAGGACGAAATGTACCGGCAGAATCTAAATCTTGCCGAGAAACTTAAGGACCAAGAGCTAGTTGAACTTATGGGCCATGAGAGGTGAAAAAAATAATTCAATCAACATTTGTCAAGTGGTTGTATAGATGCTTTAGGTTAACTTTAACGAAATTAGAGACATCTCTGCTAATTTACGAGGCAACACAAAAAAGACGAAAACCCATATTTTAATAATTTTGTTTAACGTCTATGAATTTATATGCTTACTTATATGCTTCTCTTCCTTCAAGTAATATTATGGCAGAATAAAGTTATTATTTCGGTTTCAGATTTCTCCAAAATGTGATGCTGGATCCCAAATTTGAAGAGTCGGTTCAGTCGTTAAAGGAACTGCAGGAGAAGTTTAGTCCCCAGGACATGTTGACTGTGATACAGCGCAGCACGCAGCTGCTAACGGAGGCATATGAACACGCCATGGCGGGTGAGTGCTCATCTGTAAGGAATTTCGAGAAACTGTTGAACTATCGACCCTATTTACAGCAAATGCCGCTCAGCTCAATGCGGACAACATGATACCGCTCACCATGCTCACAATGCTGCGCGCTGCGGTTCCCCACTTGGGTGCCGAGTTGGCCCTGCTGGACGATCTGACCGGCGGCCCCAATTTTCAGGCAGAGATGAACGGAATGGCGGGTTATTGCTACACCACACTAAAGGCTGCCTATGAGCACGTAACCCTTAGAGCCCTGCAAAAAACCCCCTGAGCGAACTCGACCCAAAGGCAAAAGCTGTAATATTTATCGTTTTTTACTTGTTAAGTCGACCTGATACATTTGATCTACGGATTCTCAAGGTTCGGTTATCGCTTAAGCCCGAAGAAGTTGGGTTATGGCTAAATAATAAGCTAGATAATATGTTACTCTTTGTTGAAAATGTAAAGCTTAATTGAAAGAAAGAGAAGGAAAGCGAGTATTTCCCGTATATAGTCTGTATATACCTTAAGAGACGAAACTCCCCTATAGGATTACGGGTATTGATTCTGTACAGAAGCTAATGGATAGCCTGTAGATCAGTGTAGGAAATGTGTATCTATATATTTATGTATGTATTTGTTTTGTATATTGTAGGCGAAAACACAACATTCCGATTATTCACCAAACCAAATAAATATCTACACACATATACTGGAGCTATTCTGGCTCGAAATCCTTAAGGGTCTGGCCTTTCTGGGAGGGGTCCACTGCGAAAAAAATCTCAGCCATTTGCGTGGTGAAGAAAGTTTTGTCCAGGTTGTAAATAAGGTACTTTTCGGGAAATGTCGTGCCCTCCTCGTAGTTGTACACCAGAATCACCGGATCGTTGTGCTTGGCGATCTTAAGCTTGACCAGATAGGCCAGCGCATAGATGGCCTTTCGGTAGACGTTTCTTCGGTGTGCGATCAGGCTCCCAGTGCAATACGGGAGCATGGTGACGTTGTGGTACATAGAAACGTAGTCCTCGGCGGAGCGCATGTGGCTGACGAAGAGTATAGGAGCCTGCGGCCGGAAGTGGGCGATCTTCTGCACCATCCGGGTGGTTACCCCTATGACGACGATGGCCACCGCGCGAACCTCCAAGGAGGCGGTGACCACGGCGCGGGCTAGGCTGTCCGCTCCCGTGTGCGAGCGGTCGCAGTACGGATTGTTGGCCAGCGCCACCGGGCAGATCTGCTCGAAGATCGCGCTTTGCAAGTAGCGGAAGTAGCAGCTCTTCTTCGACGGAGGGCAGGAAACCAGGTACTTATCGGGATAGTAGAACGTGTAGTAATAGTGCGCCGGGTCCACCCTGAGCTGCTGCTCGTCAAGGAGCCTCGGATCGAAGATGATGGGCTTCTTGGAGGCGTAGGCCAGCTGCATGAAGCACTCGGCGTCGGGACACAGGTGCATGATGTCCGGCACAACCGCCGGCTTGGCCAGCTCCACGAAGAAGCCATCGTAGCGCTTAACGGCCCAGTTCAGCTCACCCTTGCAGCCCAGGATCTCGTTGAGGACCACTCTTGCGTACACCCGCATTCCATCGCACTGTATGACGGACATCGCATGCTCCAGGTCGTCCAGGTACTTCGGGGTGCCCACGATATGCGACACCACCACGTTGAGACCCACCTCTCGGGTAAAGGTCAGATCCTCCAGCTCCTCATACGAGATCCGGAAGCGGCGGCACCTGGCCGGGAACAGGACGGGCATGTGGGCGTACAGGGCACCGCCCCTGGCCACACAGCACTTGAGGTGGTCCGTGTGGACGCTCTGCACCATCAGCTGGATCTCATCGCCGATCAGGATGAAGTCGAATTGCTGCACGTCGACGATCAGGAAGCGCGCATTCACGTAGACAACTTCCGAGGTGCACCTGTCGGAGAACTCCCGATCTACGGTAAGGATTATCTTCTGGCCCTGCACCAGGTCGACGGACGTCTTGCCTTCCAGGCGGAACTGAGTGTTAAAACCGCCGGTAAACTGGTGGCGCGGCGAGATCTTCACCATGATTGAGGACGCCACCGGGAAGCCCAACTCCTTGGACACACTGATCTCCGCCTCGCGCAGCTTTACGATCAGAGTCTGGTTGTCGTGCTGGGTGCCCACGAAAAGATTGATCAGGAAGCAGCGGACTCCGTTTACTGAAAATAACATGGATTTTATTTTATGTTCACGTTATCCAAACATCCAGAAAGGGTACGCTGGCTTGACTTAAAGAGATAATAATACTTATACCAATACCAAAGAATTTAGACAACAGCTTAAAAGAGTACCAATGTATTAGGGATTTACCAAAAAATTTAAGTTAAATTTAAATTTTCTTAGCGGGGATCTCGTCCATATTTGTTACTTCTGTATGCTTAAAGGATGTACCTATACTCGTTACTTGCGACTTATAGGGTATTCTGTAATTGGTGAAATATATATGTAAGAAGTAAAGGGAAGCACTAGTCACCCCATTAAGTATATTCCTGGTCAGATCATCATTGTTAAGATCTCGGGAAACTAAACGACCTAAATACCTAAATACGTACGCAGCGCAAGTTTATTAAATGTATGTGCCTCGCCCACTTTTCGGCCCACAAACCGTTAAGTTCCGTGGCGCCCTTAGATTGACAAATTAAGTAGACGCTTTGAATCTACTCCTGATTTTCCAAAAATGTGTCATGCCCGATTTTTAGCCTGGCAGCCTTGTGGGTGTGTCCGCTTTTCGGTTTATAAACCATTATTGTCTTTTCTAGAAAACTTTAAGAGCTAGATGCTAGTGATAAATAAGCACTGAAAAAAGTCTATGGAAAAATTCAATGGCTATTAAAATTGTTCACCTGAGTACGCGAATCTCGCTTGACTTGTTTTGAGTTAAAAATACATGTCATCATATGGCCATTGGCTTATAAAATAAGTATAAGGTGTACGAACCACTAAATGATATGCTTTTAATAACTCACGTAGATATTTCTTAAGCTCGTTATCGCAATTCGGCATCGCTGAAAGCTCGACACATTTGCGGTTCTCATTAGGATCGGGGGCGTGTGGAGTGGTCAGGATCTGGAAGCCTCGGAAGAAGCCGTGCCAGCGATCTTCCTCGAACGGGATTTGGCACAGATCTTCACTCAACTCCTCAAAATCAACTTCCTCCTCCGAGATCCCGTCGGAGTTATCGTTATACGCCGAAAATAAGGAGTACTTAGAGTGGATGTCCATCCCTTCCGCCCCGCTTCCACCCCGAATAAAGCTGGCGTCGTCATCCGGGCCTAAAAGGTTACGGAACGTTTTCCGCCGCTGCATGTTGCCCAGCTTCTCCTTCGCCTTCTGCAACTTCTCCACGTCCACGGCAATGATGCGCAGCCGGGCAAACATGTTGTCGATTATGGACTCAATGGTCGGAAGCTCATCGACAACGCTCATTTTTAGGAATTAATGAAAAATTTGGGAAACGAATAAAAAACAGTGTGATTTTAAGTGTGACGTAGAACCTAAGTTCAATCAAAGTTGGATAAGTCAATATTTAGATCCCTTTTCATACTGTTCGATTATTCTCAATGCTTCGTTTATAAACTTGTCCAAATTCACGACAGATTTTATTAAGCAAAAAAAAAATAATAGTCCTGTCCTTGTCCTAATCGTTTTACAAAAACGAATACTTGCTAAACTAAAGTTACCTCAAAAACTAATTTAAATTCGTTGATTTTAAATCCACTAAAATTGATTTCAGCCCCTTTCGCGAAAATATTTCGAAAAAAGTTCTCAGGTAGGAGTAAGTTGCATTTATTCGATTATCTTTAAAATTTTTGCCGGAAGCTTAATATGTAATTTAATTGAGCAATTATATGTAAGATTTGGTAATAGTTGTCTTCCAAAGGCGCAGCAATTACATAACTTCGCTTTAGTTGCAGCTAGTTGTCCGCATCGAAATGCCAACCTAATCGACCCCCTATGAACCCAGACGATTGTTTATAGTTTTATCTGCCCTTTTGCCACCCATGCATTTCCCATTTCTACGCAACATATTTCGTTTTCTTTTTTTGAATTCTCCAGCGATAAAAAGAAACCGCAATCCGAAGCGCAGGTAACATTGGTTTTTTGTTGCCGCTGCTGCTTCTCATTTTTGTTTATTTCCGTAATTTATTTGCCTGTTTTGCCCGAAGGCGAAAATGTTAAATTTAGCATCAAGCGTCAAGTGAAATGTTTACAATGTGAGAGAAAGTTAAATGGAAATGCGGAGGGGAGGTTCTTTTCGGAAAACAGGGAGCCCTAACTAAGCGTTTTAGAATCATTCCGGAATCTTGTTTCAGCGGAGGAGGCCCAGCAGCACTTGAGCACTGCGAGTTCCGCCCGGAGAAAAGGGGAAACATAAACATCCAGGAATGTTTAGAGAACGAAATGTTCATATTCGCTGCTCTTCTTTTTTTGTGTATTTCCCCCTTTGTTGTTTATTTTCACCCCGCCAACTGATAGATACACCGGCTGACTAAGACCAAGATCCGAACCCGGGCCCGGGCCCGGCCCGGAGTGGGGATACGGGCCGGACTGGAGGACTGGGTGTGGCCGCGGCCATGTTTAGACTAAACAGCCCATCATCGAAATGTGGAGAGTGTGGAATTCTCCCCGCTCGACTGCGAAAACCGCTTGAACTTTGACGCCGAACTGCACTCGTCGATTCGATTCCCCCGATTCTTTTTGTCCGATTTTAGACACAGATTTTTCTATGCCATGGGGCGTGGGCGGTGGGAGAAGTGGGAGGAGTGGGTGGAGTGGGCGGTGTATTAGTGAAGGGAGAGTGGGTGGCGGGGCTGCCCATCTGCTGCCATTGAGCAGCAGCATAAATTGCCTGGCTCCTTGGCCCGCGATCGGATCGTTGGGATCGGTCCTCTGCACTTGAGAGCAGCCATTCATCGCGTGCTCGCGCCCTCTCTTTTCAATTCTGTAGCGCCCTCTCTTTCTTGCCGTGCAGCGCCGTCTCGCTCGCTCGCCCATTCATTTCGTGAATAGAATTTTCTAAATGTCTTTGAGTTTTCAAAATTTTGGAGCGTAGGTGCAGTGCGTCGCGAAGCGTCAGCGTGTACGGTTCGCCTTTAGGATCTCAAAAGTATCCCCAAGTGATCGGGAAGCCACACAGCAATTAAAGGAAAGTCCTCCCACCTGAACACCTGAGCACCTGAGGGGGAAACCTTTCACCTCTTCTGAATTACCCACGTTTCGAGCGATCACGATTGTGCCGAGTGCTGCCAAGTTGTGGGTGGTTCTGGGACCAGGATCCCAGGTTCCCAAGACTCCACACGGAAGTGGGCGGTTTTCGACGGCCCCTGTTGCCAGGTCCCCAGATAAACCACACCCACACAGATACACACACAGTGACGATAATTTTTCATCTTTCCAATATCCCACTCGACTGGCAAAATATTCGCTTTGCCTTTTGGCTAAAAATATTTAAAAATCCAAAAATCCACTCGTGTCGCTGGCGGCCGCTTCAACCTACTACGGCCGCCTGTTTTTCATAATTTTCAGTTTTATTTATTTATCCTATACATACTCGTACGTCCGCATATATTGCTGGCTCTCTGGCCGGCCGTCCGTCTGTTTTTTGTTGTGCGACTGCCGAAAGTTCTGCGCCTTTGCGCTGCCCGTCTCACTTGGCAAGTCGTCGTGTTTGTTTATCCCACCCGCCGACTTCCCGGCTTTCCCAGCCGCCGCCACCCTTGGCCGTGCATTCTCCCGGTGGCTTCCCACATTTTCGCGGCCTTTGTCTCCGCCGGATTTCGGAGTAGGTGGATGCCGATCCTAATTGCCAGCGCCGGGGAACAAATCACAACTTAATGGCCGAGTGGTGTACAACTTCCTCGCCCAGATATCTTTATAAATATATAGAGTATGTGCGCATATAGCTGGCATCGGAAGACAGCTGTGTGCATTGGCAGATGCCATCAGCATCAGCATCAGCAGCAGCAGCAGCATCGGCATCATCATCGGCTCGTCCATCCCGTCCATTGCGTATGTGGGGGAAGTCCATAAAAAAAGAAACCAAACCAGCACACAGTTATAAAAATAAAACTATTTTCGTATGGCCCGTGCATATAGACGCTCGATCGTTAGACAGCAGCGCCGATCGGCGCAGCCACAGTCGACTCTTGGCACAGTTTTCCAGAGCACAGATTGGTCCATAAATCAATCGAACCAAATTAAATTAATTCAATTCCCGAACACGCAAAACACAAGAACCAATCTCATCGCGGCAACATGTGTTCGGATCTGTATGTGTCGGATAGACTAAAAGTTAATGCATAAATTCTAGTCGATTTGTCTTTTTCCGCTTACTGAAGTTTTATTTGAACAACGTCAGGAAAGGGAAAAAGGCGTATTTACTAAGAGTTTGGCCATCAGTTTCACCTTCAACGGAGCAATGTGTCCACTCCTCTTCGTTAAGGTGAGTATGCCCCAATTTCCTTCATAATTGCGAAAGTCTCATGGGGATATATTTCATCTGGCTAATCAAAGTCACCAGTTTCAACGACGCATGCCACTCATTTTGCGGCTCGTTTGTACTCATTATTATCGAAATCATTAGCAGCCAACAAACATGTCCCCGAACCAGACAGAAAACTCTAATTAAACTCAAAGGGTGGACCCTCAATCTTTTCTATAGAGCTTACAATTTTATTATTCTAAATTAAAAAACACAGAAAGGGAGTAAGAAGTAATTTTGGTAAAATTATAAATCTTCATATTTTCAGTTCCATATTACAATGAAAAAATGAAATGAAAACCTATGGAAAATCGATTTAGAATTGAAAATGGCTACCCCTAAAGTATTTGAAATACGTGTTTGCATTTGAATTCTAAAAAGTTAGGTCCTCTAATTTCAAAAGAAATGAAATTACATAGAATGGAAAAATATTTTCCGCATATATCAATTCAGTAACTTTTTCTCGATTTAGATTTTTCTGTTGCTCAACTTTTATTCTGAATTTTGGCGATTCGATTGGTAATGAATTATTTCACAACCCGAACAAAGAAACAATACTTGCCAGATTCCCCGGTATGCGAAATTTAACAAATTGCTTCGCCCGCCGGCAGCAGATCCAATTCAGATCCAAATCGGGGCATTCTTCGGCATTGCTGTACCGTTTCAAATGAAACGAAAATTAAATGTAAAATTTATTGTTGCATAAACAAAATGCCAGGAAACCGACCGCATCCAAATCGAACGATGCGTATGTGGCACCTTTAAGTATTCTGCCCCTGCCCGCGATGGTTTTAGCCCATCCTCGCCCGCATCCTCATTCGCATCTCGATCTCCATCTCCATCTCCTTCTCCATTTCCATCCGAATCCCCATTCCCAATCCCCAACATCTCCATCTGACCGGCTGCTATGTGGAACGCATATAATATGGTCGGCTGGAGAGGATGGAGAACTTAGTGCTGCCTCATGCCCAGTGGCCAAAAATAACATCAATGGGGGCAGAGCGCGGTGTGTTTGCTTTGTTTATAGTTTTCGTGTAAACAATTGCAAGCGGAAAAACCAATCCGGCATGTTCGCGTTCGAGAAAAATCGAATCTGGAAAATGCCCAAAAAATGTAAAACCGAAGCGGTTGCAGCTGAAATGGAACTCAAGAGCGTAGGGAAAAGTGAGCAGGGGAACCACATCTATCTTTAGTAGTCATAATTTTCAACAATTCGAAAGAAAAATAAATCTCGGACCAGAAAAAAAAAGAAAAGCCCTTAAACGGTTAAACAACTTTTAATGTAATCAAAGAGAAACGCAAAATTATTGCGAAATTATTATTAATACAAATTTGGCTAATGTATGAACTCATATTTCTTATGATCACAACAGTAAACAAGAAATTATGTTTTGGGTCAATGTCGTAAAAAATGTAGTAACACATGTCGCCAATTCAATCAGTTTCGAATCTCTCGAGTTCAGATGTTGCTTCCCACCTCTTCGAATGCTTCGATGCCGGGGCGATGAGCAATAAGACCCTGGACATAAATTAGGAACCCCGAATTGCAGGCCGAGATTCGGAATTGCAATGGGAGATGGGAGATGGCAGATGAGCCTGGGTAAGAAGCTGGGTCTTTAATTAATTCTTAGAACGGGTTTCAAGTAAATACTCGAGATCCCACACAGTACATATTGCCATATTGTGTGTATGTAAGTGGCTGGATATTGTCCGATAACCGGTAAGCAGGCGACCGCAATGCCAATTCCAATTCAGTTTTGGCAATATAAAGAGCTGTCTTCGCTGAATCAGAGTCAAATCAAAGTCGGCTCCCCATCCAGACAGCAGCATGTTCAAGATTGTGAGTATCGCAGCATCGGGAAGAGACCACCACTAGGATTACCCCATTCCAAATCGTCTCGCCAGGTCATCATCTCGTTGGCCCTTTGCCTGGCGGTCGTTCTGAGTGCCCCGGTGGACCATGTGACCTCGACCACCCAGCCGCCGGTGGCCATCCTCGAGTCCTCCCACGAAAAGCACGAGGACGGATCCTACAACTTCTCCTATCTCGGCGAGGACGGCACCCACCGCCACGAGGAGGCGGTGGTCAGGAACCAGGGCACCGAGAACGAGTACCTCGAGATCAGCGGCTCCTACTCCTACTTCGACGCCAATGGCAAGGAGGTGACCGTCACCTACAAGGCCGACGACCACGGATTCGTTCCCGAGGGCGGCGCCATCCTGCCCCAGATTTCGCTGGCCGCCAAACAGGTCAGCGAGCAGGTGTCCCAGCCAGATCTCGACTACGTCAAGCCCCCTAAGCCCTAAGTCCCCAAAGGTTCAATAAACGAATGGTGCAACTGACATGGAACTTAATTCCGGTGTTCTAACTTTAAACTTCAGAGTTAGGAAGCAATGCAGGTGGCTTGAGGTAATTAGCTGAAGAAGTTTATAATTTTAAGACATTGAAGTAAACATTTAAATTAAGGGCTGAGAAATTGCTGATCAAATAGGTAATCAATCAAATCTTTTTGGCCTATTTATTTACACGTAAACAAAGGTTTCCGGATTGTTAATTATTCAACTGAAAGGAAAGTGGTCTGCAGAACACGTTTATGAATACCTCAGACAACAATACATTTTGATGAACGGAAGGTAGTTTTAATTATATCCAGTACCATTTAGCGTGGTGATGGTATAAGGCATTCAGATTTTAGCAGCGAAAGGTGGTTTTTTTGAATATCCGATAGTACTTACCTGGCAACTTCCTCTTTTGAAGTAAAAGCAATGGTAATTAAAATTTTACTTTCTTCATTTAATGCAGAAACAATTTCAACTACAAAATAATAGCTAGAGGACCGCCTGCTCGGCATCCTTAAGTTCGTAAAGGTTAACAGTGCGCTGAACAAATTGAAAATACAAAATACATCTAGGAATGGGCAGGGATCAGATCGGGCAGGGGAGGCATTATAATACATAAAAGCTCAAAGATTAAATTAAAACAATGCAATAAATAAGAATTGGATTCCTCCGAGGGAGCGGGCGTGGCTCCTCACTTTTTGACGGGCGTGGCCGGGGGCGATCGATAGGAGTTGACCAGGCCGCCGCCCGAGTTGGGCTTGCGGTTCTTCAGGCGGTTCTGGAGCGTTTGCAGCAGTCCGGCCAGCACGTCGTGGTTGGGGATCTTCTTGGCGAAGAGCAGGCGCTTCACGGAGTCGTCGTAGGTGAGCAGGGCCACCATATTCTGGAGCAGGAAGCACTGGCAGTACTCCAGCAGGCGGTTGGCATTGTAGACCTGAAAATGCCAATCGATTAGAATCCCCATAAGAACGAAGGCATTGCAATTGATTTCCCACCTTGGCGTGAATGTACATCGCGACCACGTTGTCCACGTCCACCATTTCCGAGCAGCGCGCCTCCGTGTAGCGCAGCAGTCCCTCCAGCTGGAAGAAGCTGGCCGCGGCCATCAGCTCGAGCACGTCGCCGTGGGACACGTCCAAGGAGCTGCAGCCGCCGCAGTAGAGGAACTGCATCACCAGCTGGAAGATGTGGTAGCGGATGTCGTTGATCTGCACCGTGGGCGTGGAGCTGGCCTCGCTCAGCTTCGAGCTCAGCATGCTCTGGAATCGCGGCGAAGCTGTTACCAGGACGATCTTGTGTCCGTAGAAGATCTTCCCCTCCACTCTGCAATGGATAAGTTAGGTAATTTGTTAGTGTAGTTCCACTAATGATGCTTATTGTTTTAAAAATAATTTTTACAAATTGAACTGTAGTATTCTCATTATTATTAGCAAATCAACGTAAGCGAAAAATACGGAAACACAATTTGGGTTAGAACTGAAGTAAGATAAGTATTCCTAATTCAGACCGAATGGCTTAGGGAAATCTTTTTTGTTTCATGTTGAAGGGAAGAATATCTTCCCTTGACCTTTTCCACATAATGATGCACATATGCACACAGACAAAAACCACTCATTAATTGTTGTGAATAAATAATTAAACCAAATTCTCTGGCTGAAATTCTCATACTCGTTCACCCACCTGAAGGTCACGTCGCTCAGCTCTGGGTTGTTGACGAACTTGGGGTCGATGCGGGATCCCTGGACGGGCTGCATCGGCGGCTGCTCCTTCACGGGGGGCAGGGTCTCCCAGCCGAAGCAGGTGGCGAAGATGTCCGCCAGGAGGAGGGTGGTGCCCTCGTTCTTGTTCCGGAAAATGTTGAACAGCAGGGGCAGGCACTCGCTGACGAACTGGGCGCTGTAGTCGTCGGGACAGACCTGCAGGAAGTCCTGGAGCAGCTGGTCGATGACCGCGTCCAGTCGGAGGTCGTGGGCCGCCGAGAGGGCGTGCATCCAGCAGTGGAGAGTCCACGGCACTCCCAGTTTCCGGAGCTCAATGGTTATATCTGCATGAAGATGTTAAATACAACAGGTATTAGTGGAATTCAAATAAGTAAAAATTGTTTCGCTCCGCCAAAAATAAATCTTCTGCCAACATACAAATAATCAGACAGCTTGTAAACAAAGCTCTTTCTACGGTTCTCGATCATATCTGGTTTAAAATTAATTAATGACTAATTTGTAGACGATTTTAAACCAATCAAATGAATTAGAAAAACATTAAATGCGGATTGAATCACTTAATCGGTCATTGCAGTCTATCTAATTTGAATTGGAAATGATCGCGGAGTTCACTTTGTGCTTATTTTTGACAAAAATATTTTCTTCACAAATAGGTCAATGCAGTAATGAATACTTTAATTGCCTATTTAAAAACTTTTATCTGTTATATATGTATATAATTCAATATACGATTTCAGGGTCGCACTTTGTTCTTTGCTGTGTGGCATATAATAATATTTTAACCAAATGTGCTGACCGAATGATGAATTAAAAAAGAAGTAGATGGTTGAAGTAGAATATCCTATATTAGCTGTAAGATCTAATCTCTTTAAGTGTAGTAAGTTGATAGTAGAAGTAGGATATCTATTCTAAATTACTTATAAAGATCTTTGATCTTACAACTTTGCTATATTATAAGCCCATACAATAAACTCACCCAAGTGATTGTTCTCGGCACTGTGGTACATGGCCTCCTGGAGTCGCTTGATCTGCGTCTTGTTGAGCAGCGGGAGAAGGTCCTCGCTGTTCGCGCTGCCACTGCCGCCACTGGGTCCTCCTGCTCCTCCGGGGCCACCGGCGCCCCTCGCCCCGCCCACGTCGCCCTCGGCGAGCATCTCCTCCAGCGAGAGCACGTCCCGCGTTCCCGGGGACACGGGGTGGGTGAGCAGCTTGCGGAGACACGACCGGTGGCCGTGGGCAGCCGCCACGGAGATGGCGCAAAAGCATCCCTTCTGCGCAGATCCCGCGAAGCAGAGCGAGTCCTTCTGCTGCGTGGACAGGAAGGCGTTGGCTCCGTGGGCCAGCAGCAGCGCCACGATCTCCAGGTTCCCGGTGCCGGCGGCCAGCTGCAGCGGGGTCAGGGTGCACTTCTCCTCGCTGCTCCTGGCCCCGCCCTCCACCTTGCCGCCCCTCTCCAGGAGGATCCTCAGGGCCACATAGTTGGCTCTGCTGGCGGCGAAGCTCAGTGCCGTCCAGTGCTGCGTGTCCGGCTGGATGGCCGGGTGGCCAGCGCTCCCGGCGGGCGGCACCTCCACGTTCGGGTCGCATCCGGCGTCCAGGAGGGCGTGCAGCGCCACCTCGTCGTTCCGGATGCTGGCGATCATCAGGGCGGTCAGTCCGGCGCTGTTCTGGGTGTCGTACCTCGTCGTTGGGGGCAGCAGCTGGGCGGCCTGGGCCAAAAGTTCCGCCCGACCAGTCAGAAGGAGCTGAAGGTGGAGTTCAAAGTAAGGGTAAGGCTTACTACAATAAGATTTAATCATCCCTAACTTGCTTATGTTTAACTCCAAAACGCATTAGCTGTTAATTAGATTGATTTTTTATTAAGATGCGGTATTCGAACTTTCCATTAGTAAAATTTGAATCTTTTAAAAACTTAAATCAAATCAAATTAATTGAAAAGAATTTTTAATCATGTAGTTGTCTACAAAATACTTTTCAGATTTCATGTCTTATTGGAAATCAAAATTCTCAGTATTGATAAGTTTGCGATCAGCATCACCTTCTGAAGCGATCTAGGAAAGTTCGAAAATTCTTTATAGAATTAACGGAAACATAATTATAACATCGTTTTTTTTTATCATACGTGCATGATTATTGGAATATAGAGTTTTCTAACGATGCTTGAATTTCGAATTGAATTTCATAACCATCGGACGACTATGAACAACCGTCCAAAATATAGAAAATTGTTAGGAACTCCATCATAGCTTCGATGTTGTTTAATGTATTATGTATTTTGCTCGACATTTGTGCTGACTGCAAGGGTATATCATCCTTTACTGATTTTAATAGGAAACCACTCACCTTAAAGGCCACTCCAATGGTGGCTCGTCTGCCCAGCTCGGAGGTGTCCTCCCCGATTCCGATCCCGATGCCGCCGACCACGGGCGAGCTGCAGCTGCTGCTGGCCGTTCCCGTGCCCGTGGAGCTGCCGGCGGGGGCGTTGTTGAAGTGCGTCTTCTTGGTGGGCAGCTCCTCGTCGTGGGCCACCGGCCGGATGGGGCAGTCGACGCCGGGGAGCAGCAGCCTGGCGGCCTGCATCACGTCGTCCTTGTCGATCATCAGGGCGCTGCGGTGCTCGGCGTGGGCGGCGGCCACCCGGAGCCACTCGGCCAGCGGCGGCAGCACCACGTAGGCGCGCTCGTAGCACAGCTCCTGCACGTGGTGGCCAGTGGCGGAGGAGGAGGCGCCCACCCCTCCGCCCGGAGGGAGCCACCTGCGCCTGGGCGGCGCCGCAGCCGGAGGCGGCGAGGAGCTCCGTGTGCTCCAGCTGGGAGCAGCGCATAAAGTAGAAGAGCGCGGCGAGCGCGGATCCGGAGAGGGCGGCGGCCAGCTGGAACTCCTGCTGGGTGCGCAGGGCCTTCTCCTTCAGCTCCCGCACGCTGCCCACGCAGGTGGCCAGCGAGGAGGCACTGGCCCACCTGGGCAGCGCCAGGGCTCCGCTGGCCACACGCCCGGCGTTCAGGTGGGCGAACGGCTGCAGCAGTCCCCACACGTCGCCCGATCCCGCGATGCTCTGGTCGAGGGCGGCGGCCGTGCTGCCGTGGCACTGCAGCGCGATCTCCTCCAGGAGGTTCTCCACGCCGGCGCAGAGGTAGACGGCCGCGTACTCGTGGATGAACTTGCCCAGCCGCGCGTCCGTCATCCAGCGGTAGAAGCGGCCCACGGACAGCTGGAGGCCCGCCCGCGCCGACTTGCTCTGCTTGAGGGCGCTCTCGCCGGGCACCGCGAACATGGCGGCCGCCCGGAGGCAGGCCTTCGTGCAGGAGTCCGCCAGCGCGGAGCTGAGCACCACGCGCAGGGCGCCGGCCACCTCCTGCTTGGAGCAGAGGCCCACGCCGGCGGAGAAGCGCTGGATCTCGCGCGCGATCCGCACCAGCGCCCGCTGGAGCAGGTAGCCCAGGCGGGAGACCGCCTCCACGGCCAGGTGCTCCGCCTGCTGCTGGCAGCGGCCGTGGCGCAGGACGCGCAGGATGCACTGCTGGCTCCACGGCGGGTGCTGCAGCTCCACCAGCCGGTTGTGCGAGTCCACCCACACGAACTCGTCCGCGCTGGTGCTGGTCACCACGGTCTCCAGCGAGGAGTACCTGCCCAGCCGGCGGGCCGGCTCCGAGCTCTCCGACCCAGCGCTCAGGCTGCTGTAGGTGCTGCTGCTCGTCTGGGAGCGCAGCGTGAGCATGGCCAGCTTGATGTCCTCCAGCCCGGTCCCGCTCCACGGAGCCTTACCGGCGGGCATGATGCCGCGGTGGCGCCGCGACCGCGTGCTCCTGTTGGTCACGCCCGCCGCCAGCCGGTCCTCGGGCAGCGGGCCCAGGGTCATCCCGCCCGCCGGCGAGGAGCTGTGCCCGCCCGTGTCCGACATGCTGGCGTGCCCGGAGCTGCGGTTCTCGTCCGAGGAGCTGTGGCACTCCTGCACGCGCTGCAGCGCCCTAAACTGGTCGTGCTGGTGGCTCCTGGCTGGCGTCTGGCTTCCCGAGGTCGTGGGGATGCCCAGGGTGGGTCTGCTGGGCGACACCTGGCTCTGGCCAAGGCTGCCGCTCAGCTGGGGGGGCTGCGACTTGACCGGCGTGCTCTGGACGGTCAGGCGGGCAGGTCCCGCCACCGCCCGCTGGGGCACCACCGCCTTCGAGGCGGAGACCGGGGAGGGAAGCTTGCCGGACGGGGTCACCTGGCCGACACCCGACGCGGTCACCAGCTTGTGCGGCAGCCCCTTGTTCGGCTGCTGGGCCAGCTCCTTGAAGACCCGCGGCGCCGGAGTGGCCATGGCCACCGCGAGACCCTTCTGCGGGGCGAGGGGCGTCTGCGCGGGGGGTTGCGGGTGCGGCTGCTGCAGGGGCGACTGCATCTGCGGCGGGGGCACGGGCGGCAGGCCGGTGATCTGGCTGGGAGCCGGGTGCTGGCCAAAGTTCGGCGGCAAGTTGCCAGTGGGTCTGGAACGAGAAGCACGTTGGTTCATTGGTAATGCGTTGCAACAAATGAATACTTAAACTAAAGATATAAAAGGCTGGAAGTGTGGAAATCAGACAAGTCTTAACTGTGTGAGGATTTTAGATCTTATTAAATTGGTATTCTGTTAGGTACAAATAATTGTTTTAGGAAGCATTTTTCATAGCCACACTGAATATTAAATTTACCCATATTAAATTGATCTTTTATAAACAAATAACTCTTTTAAAGAATATTTTTCACAGCCACATTAAATATTCAAGTTGTACTGAATTCTTAATTAAACCTGACCCATTTTCGGGGTCGAAAATGATGCAACTCACGAAGATTCCTCTGCGAAAAAGAGAATCCCAGCAAAACTAAACAAAAGCTTTGACTAACGGACGGCTGAAAGAGATGTCGCACTGCCGCTAATCTTTGTTCACACAATCTTGACTATCTTCTAGTTAGTCACGAGCCGAACTTGAAAGCAGTGACACCTAATAAAATGTCGGCGGCAGCGAACTAAATATGCAAAGGTCGCACTAAGTCGAGAGCTCTGGTTGAAAAACTAAACTGACTTACGAACTTACTGTCTGAATAAAATGCAAAACAATGAATAAATACGCATTTTATTATCTGGGAATTAAATAATATTTTAAAGCAGGTTGTACAGAATTCTTTTATCATTCGCGATTCGTTCTCACATTTCTCCGGGCCTCCGTGATTATCATCTCCTAACTGGGTTGGCAAAACCGAAATACAAAGCGATATTAAAAGCCAGTTACGATTTTTCATTTGCATGCGAAAAGTTGGATGTCTCTGGCATCTATTCATTCTTTTTGGACATTGTTATCATTCGGATTTGCCCATCCCTTCGGCAGTTTATGCTGTAACTTGAGCTCCGATTGACCCAAATTCAAATGCTGACTTCGCCCGACGAGTCTTTTATTGTCTCTCTTGACAATATATCTTTAATACAGATCTTTAAGGCTTAAATAGGGTTCTGTGCTTAATACGATTTATGAGTGGAGCTTTGAGTTTCTTGGCAGTACGGTTATTATGAACTAATTCCGAATCTAAAACTTGATTAGTTTTTGGGCAAGGAACGATGACCTTTAGCTGTTTGTTTTTGTTTTGGAATCTATCAGACCTATTAAATGAGTTAATTCTTTATACAAAAGCCAACAAATCAAACCATTAGAACTGATCCAAATTAAGGAAGCTCATTTGGCTGACGAGTATGCAAATGAAAGGCAAACCTTAACGATCTTGTCTAAACATTATGAGTTGTAAAATCGAACATCTTCTTTAATATAGGACATTAAACTTAAAGTTAAGCTTTACTGTCCCAAAAGCTTATATATATTTTGTAATTCCTTGAGAAGATCTTTTTGTGTAAATATGTGTTTTCAAACTCAAAGTAAAATTAATGGATGCCTCCTAACGGAATTCTCAATGATTTCGAGCCACCCCTTCTGATTATTATTTTTCCAATTAAAGGAAACAGATTGATATTACTTTCAACTGTTTCGTTTTGTAATTGAATTGCAATCTTGGGAGGAGGAGTCACTTCTGACATCTTCCCGACCTCGATTCGATTCATCAGTCGCAACTGAGCCTGCCATTTGAACCCGAGTCACGTTCCTTTCCCTTTTGCCAATCAAGTGCCACCCAGTTCTACGCCCAGAAGAGATCCCTTTTCCCCGACTTTCACAAAAGAACTGCAGCAGTGGTGCACCCACTACTCACACACACAAATAGAAATGAAAAATGGGAAATGGGAAATGGGTAGTGGGAAATGGGAAACGTAAAATGGGAATGTGGAGATAATGGTGATCCGGAGGCTTCCCCGTACCCGTACCGTTTGGCGGCCCTGCGCCACTCCTGAACGTAGCTCCAGTCGCACGAGTCCGTCTCCGCCTCATCTTGGCCAGGGTCGTCGCTGTCGTCGCCCCCGCTGTCCTCCTCCTCCTCCGCACCAGTGGCTGCATCGGGTTTCGCTGGGCCCACGACGGCCAGAGTGGGTTTCGCCACCGTTTCCACCAGCGCACTGGCTCGCCGGTAATTGCCTTCAATTCTGATATTAATTACGCCGTTCTGCACGCTCTCAATGTAGGGCGGCAGTTCGTCATCCGCTGGCGGGGTTGTCCCCACCTCTCCCTCCCCCTCCGCTGGTGGAGACCCCTCCTCCTTCTCCTTCTCCGAATCCAATCCGCTGGGCTTCTTGAGCTTCTGGGACATCTCCTGCACCAGCTGCGAGTGGAGCTCCTCCGGCGAGGGCACTGGCGACGGCTGGCCGCGGTGGATCGAGTCCCCGAAGTAGATCACCACCTTGTGGTTGGGCTTCTTCGCCCGCGAGGAGTCCTCGGTCGCCCAGTCGGGCAGCTCCTCGATGGGCGTGGGCGAGGGCGTCTGCGGGGGGCGTGGCACCGACGCTTGCTGCGCCAGCATCTCGCTGTTCCGCAGCGACTGCGGCTGGAAGTTCTTGAGGGAGATCCCCTGCGCCGCAGGATGAAGTTGTCGTTGAGCATCCTGCTGAGCAGATTGGCGCCGCCAGGAGCCGCCTTCTTGCCACTGGGCTTGTAGCCACGCAGCTCGCGGCACAGGCTGCAGGTGCAATCTTTGGTGCAATACATTGTGTTGCTCTTAGTCTCGCTTTGGTTTCATTACAGATAACTTTGCATCAATTAAATAAGAATTAATCTTATAGTTCGTTAGAGTCTCTATATTAATTTCATAACCTTTTTAAAGGTTCGTATGTTTATTCGATCATATGTCCGTGGTTGATCGTTTAGCATTTCAATGGCTTTGCGTTATTATTTTTACAAGCTCCGCATTTGAATAGTATATTTTGAACAGAATCTCATTTACTCCACAACGGGTTCTGTTTTATGTCATCTTTCACTGACAAAACCTTTCGATACACAAATTTGGTTAGTTTTCCACGGTTTTCGGATACTTTTGAGCACTTCTTCGCACACAGCCAACTGCTTCTTCGCTCGGCTTGGAGTTTTCCATTTCACTGTCGCACTGGTAATGATGGCAATCATGCAAATTATAAATTATCGTTGCTCTGGTGCTCATCCATCCGCGGCCGAGACTCGGAAAGTCGAACGCCCGAAAAGTGGACCCGCCGAATACCCAAAACCCGCGGTGCGTTCGCTCTCGGCTGGAACTGAAGCTCGACTGAAACCGAAGCTCGGATTTGGTTTGGTTTGCTTTGCTTTGGGCCACAGCTGCTGCGGCGCAGTGGCAGTCGAGGCAGACTGCGACTGAGCTGCCCCGTCATTGTCGGCGGCTGGCGGTATCTGTTTTTCCTCATTTTCACAGCGCGTTTTGGGCCTTCGGCGTCCGGGGTTTGGGGCCCCAGCCACCTTGCACGGAGGGTCCGCGGGTCTCGGCTTGGGTAATTTTTCCATTTGCTTCTCAGCTGTGTGACCAAAACAATGGCGCTGCCACAACACCAGCAGGCAGCCTTTGAGGGCTCACTTTGCGCTGTACTGGAGCAATATCACCGAGTTTTCTTTTCATTTTCCCGCTCGCAGTTGTTGCTGCGTGATTTTCCAAAAGTCACTGCGATAGGTGGCAGTGATGCTCAGCGGGGGAAATTGTAAAACCGAGGGAAGTTGTCAGGCTGGGCTTCTGACAAGCCACTTCGAAAACTCAAACAACATGCGTATTTTTTGTAAGTAACTATCTAATTTATTAAAATATTTACTTAGAAAAATGTATGTACATCAACTGATGGAAAAACTGAGAGGCCCAAAATAATTTAAAACCATTTTAATGGAGAACATAACAACTGTAGCTCTAATGAGTTAAAGTTATAAAGTAATTCATAATTCCAAACAGCTTAGTTTTAAACAAATATATGTTAGCACAGGTAGATTTACTGTGCAAGGTTGAACATATTTCAAGCAAATACCCTCCGCAATTCGGAGTTTTTTAATTGCTGCTCTGAATCGAGCAGGGTAAGGTTTCAAAATAGAGTTTTTAAAATTCATTTAAAGTTGCTCTGAAGCTAATTAAGAGTTCTCGGGGCTCATTTGCTGATCACACGAGTTTACCTCACTGAAACCTCCCAAGCAGGTAAAATAGAGTGACTGGCCAAAGTGGCCAACATCTCTGCCGGCGGGCCTTGCACTGAATTTAATTATGGATAACTGTTCGGCGGGCCAAGGGAGCATGGCAGCTGAGTGCCACCCAGCACACGAAGGTTATACAATCTCGGCACTTATCAGATCGTTTTGCCAGCTTCCTTGCGTGGAGAACCCGGGCCGAGTCCCATTCCCATCCCAGTCCGAGGCACCGAGGCCCCAAGATGGTTAGATTCTGGGCGAGAAACAAGCGCGTTCTGAGCATGGCCAGACGTGCGTAGGCTTCGAGGTACATCTACAAGATACATCTCATGTGTGGAGCAAATAAATTGCCGAGCGTAACCTGCTTCTAATGATTTACACAAGCCCAACCGCTGACATAACGGTTTCTTGGGGTTAGCCTTTGTTTTTCCGATACAAAACGACGGCAGAAGCTTCTCTTTTGTGGATGAAGAATGAAATGGAAACGGCTGAATGTTAATGGTTAATGGTTGATGGTAAGTGGGCAAATGGGAGCGGTCCGAAACCGCAGACCCAAATAAGCCCCATTCACATCCACTGACGTACGCACGCAGCAGTTGCAATTAGAAAGCCCGATCCATATGCCCAAGTCCCGAAATGAAAATCGGGCACTGAAACGCCCCCGTAATGCGGAAAACTATCTTTTGGGCCGATTGCACAATAACTTTCTTCGCTGGCCGGCGGCCGCCAACTGTTTGGGTTTCTAAGCCAGGTGGATTATTAAAAAAATTACACTCTTAGCAATTTTCGCATTAAAAAGTTTAATTTACGGAAAAGTAATGACAGGCCATAAATACGCTTACACCCATTAGGCCCCATACGCCGCACTCGAAACCTCCCAAAAATAAAAAACGGAACGAAACACAAAACACACCGAAAGGTTTAATGTAATATTCGCGTGTTTATTAAACAACTTGGCCACGGAGGAAAAAACGATCGAAAATGGCTGGAAAAACTGGACAATGGCGGCGGAGAAAAAAGAGTGCGGAGAAGAAGAAGAAATATAGCCCAACCCTTTAGTACCAGAGATATATGGCCACCTCTGGGCATTTTTGTGTCACCCGGCTAATGAGGCTTGAGGAACTTTCGTTTTTCATGCCTGACAGTATTAGACAGGAAATGGTTTTCGGTTTTCAATCTCTGGCTCGGACCACAGATCATTAGAACCAGGTCTTCCAGCGAGATCATTAATCTTGGCCCGGCAAAATATCAGCAAGTTAATGCATTAATATGCCAGTCGAAGCAAGGTTGGCCCACAGTTTTAGCTCCAAGGCAAGCCGACTCACTCGAGCGAGGTACTGGCTCACTTCGACGAATTTTCATTTCACTTATTTTCCCTTTTCCCCACGGAGGATTTACCAAAATGCGATTGACGTGGATTGCTCAAGCTTCTTTGGGGCTGAGTCATGGTTTTTCTCGGGGCCTGGGAACATTGGAAAATGTATTACCAAATCTGGATATGCAGGGGAGATGTTGGAGTGTTAGGAAAAGTTTGGATGCCCCACTTTGAGACTCTAGTTTCAGAAGAGAACCCAAAATGTTTTGATTTCGAACTCATAACTGGCAGTAATCACAGTACTCGATACGAGCTAAGGATGTGCAATAATCCCCATGAGGCTACACATTCCTTCCTCTTCGAGGTAATGGCCACCTCGTTAGCCTACACTCCCCACCTGTGCGCCTCCCAAATGATATGCCCGAGACTCACCGTTGTATCCCGACACCATCAGTGACATGGCAATTGGCTGTAACTGTTATGAAACCCAACATCTGACAAATTGCTAGCTACTCCGAATGCTTTCGGCCCTATCATATCATCACATCTCGCTGATTAGAGTTTAATATGCTGCGACTACTGTGGGGAGATTTCCGCATTCAACCACATCCCCATCGCCGATCGGAGAAGCTGCGAGGTGCCAGATGATGATGAGGTCTCACTTGAAGAAGGAGATGAAGACGGAGTTGGAGATGGAGATGAAGATGCAACGCGATGAGCAACTGGCTTTGCTTCCGTTCGAAGACCGTATCTTCCTCGTCGCCAGCTTCCACGACTTAATTAGTCGCCTGTCTCTCCAGATCCGTCAGCAGGCTGCTCCACTCTGGCCAGCAGCTGACGCCCCCTAAAGTCTCCCACACTTTCGCGCCTCCGATTTCGCTGATCTTTTTCGGGCCCCGCCAATGCTGGCCAGGCGATTCTGTTTTGATGGCAACTAGTCAGCCAGTTAGCTAGTTGGGTGTATGTTGACAAGCGGCGAGGGTATCTCACAGATACGAGCATTACCCCCCGGGTTTCTGTATCTGTGACCGTAAAGAAAGTCGCGGCGAGGCAAAAGGTAACAACATTTTCACTTGCCTCACGTCGCCGCATTATTTCTTGTGCCAGCTTTAATGCCGCGTTCGAAATAACTCCAAACTGAAGATGCTACGGCGATAGAGGACGGGAAAGGCAAGTGGTTTGAGGTAGGAGGCAGGCGGTAGGAGGTAAGAGTAAGTGTATCAAGTTTGTTGCCCTCGCAGATGGCTCTGCCCTCCTCTGGGCCATTGTCATTGACTTTGTCGGCTACAAACTGTTGTTGCGCCGCCGGCTTTGTGGCGAATTTTTCGTAAATTTTTCCTACTTCAGTTCGTTAGCTATTATTATTTTATTCCCCGTATTGTTGGGCCCTGCTAATTATTCACATTTTGCGATTTTCACTTTCGTTTCGTTTGTTGTGTGAAATATTCCAACTGTCATTTGTTTGTTGTTACTCGCATTTCAGACTTTTAATTGCCAGAAAGAGAGAAGCGGTCCGCAATAAAGTTTCGTAAATGCCAGTCATATTTCAGTTTCCTGGAGGGCGGCCAGATTTCGATCGGCAATTGTGCGAGTCGATTTCTCAATCGCGCTTGAACTTTGCGAGCAAAGAGCTGAAACCTTCGCTCGCAGCCTCGTATCTGTATCTGTATCTGTGCCCCAAAAGTATCTCGCGCGGAGCTCTAGTCTCGTTTTAATTGAATTAGTCTTGTCTGACTGGCCCGCACTAAATAATTATTCATCTCTACCTGTGTTGGGTCGTAAAGCAAGCCCATCTTCTTTTTGTGGCACACATCCGGAGCAATCTTCTTCTGCCGGCTTCCGTCCCCTCCCCCTCCCTCCCCCCTGTGCCCTCACCTCCGTCGAGCGGAGAACTGACACTAATATTTTCCAAATTAACCTTGACCGGCTTTACAATGCGAAAACGAATCGCAGACGGATCGTTCCCGTTTGGGCCAGCGACCAAGAAGCCACGATCACTCGAAACAAACAAACACTCCATTATTATTTCCGAAAATCGTCTAGCGTCCGCTATTCCGCCTCGTCCACATACACACTCGTACATACGCCCAACCATACCAACTTCTCCTCCCCGATTCTTTTTTGTAACGCTTTCGAAAAGAAGTTGGTCGCTCAGAACAAAGTTTATTGTCCGTTCATCTTGCCCCCTACGGTCATCCCCCTCCCCCTCTGCAAAGCCAAGAGCCGCCTCACTTCACGCTTTTGTGCACAATTATGCATGCAAGTGTCCGAGTCCAAAAATAGTTGCCATTGTGGAAGACCCGACCGACGACTGGCGCTTCGAGAGCGGGCTGTAACCGGAGCGGGAAATACCCCAGTTACTCCAGCGGAGCAAAGAAATCGTTCTTGTCACAGATTTCTAAAAATAATCATACTCGGATAACAATATACATAAAACCCAAAAGTTGTTATGGTTACGAATGCATTGCTTGCTGGTCAACGCTGAATGGCGGCTAGGGATTTTAGGTATGTGCCCTACCGGAGAAGGACATCCGCCGTCCCGATCCTGCAATCCGTCCGACTAGGAGCTGCCTCCTCATTGGCCCTGTTGTGGTCGGCCACCGCTCTGAAAAGGAACTTGGCCACAACCGGTTTACTTGGTGCACCACCCCATGGGTGACCATTTTAGTCAGTCCGAAACTTATCAAAAAGGTAAGGAAACGGAATCCAAGAGGAGCAGAGACGGCGGGCGCGCCTGCGCAAACATGTGTACATATGTACGTACATTCATACATACATATGTACGTACATCCATTTCAACAAGAGCGATC